ACAACCAATGTATCACTGAGATCACGACAAGGGTGTGGCAAGGTGATAAATACATTAGTTTGAAAGTGCTTGACGATGAAGACTTGGAGATGACAATGGAAGAATTTTGCAACCAGTCAAGGACAGATTTTCTAGAGTTGTATGTCGACATCGTCGCAACCGAGAATGCTCCCATACCGGTGAGGTCAGTTTATTTAAATTCTCCCCATCTTCCAGCTTCTCCTGCCGCTCATGCGTCTCTAGTTGGTAACTTTTCTGAGGGAGATGAAAATGATCCAACTTGGGAAATGCACGACGAAGATGATGATGACGACGATGAAAATATGGCAATGGAAGAACATCTTCTGGCGGAGGATGCTAGTACTTCAGAAGGAGATGAATCTCGTGAGATGGGTGCGTCTCAAATCCCAATATTCCATCAACCAGTCGTCGCGCAAATGCCGCAGTTGAATGACGTTGCGTCTGCTCCGTATAGTATTCCACAAGAAGGTAATTGTTCCCATTTGTATACTGCGTGAATAAATAACTGATTTAATACCTGAATTAGTAAGTTCGTATTAAAAAATTATAATCCGCAATTGCAGGTGACACAGATGTTATTCCTTTTTGGGAAGGAATTCTGCATTATTCTTACATTGATTGGAGTTATCAGAGCGAACAAGAATCATGTACTGATGGTTCGGTGTCTGGATCGGCTTCGATACAAGGTCCGTGGCAACTGGGTGACATGTTATTTTTCAATCAAGAATTTGCGACAAAAAAAGATGTCCAAATGGCACTTAAGCACAACCTTATTAGGGAGCATCAAGAAGCCATTGTAATTGAGAGCACGCCTGCAAAGTTGTCCATGAAATATTGTGCGTACGATCAAGGTTGTCTGTGGCGCGTAAGGGCGATCAAACCGGTGTTTCGTGAAAATTGGAAAATAACGAGATGGGGTGGAAAACACGAATGTGTGAATGAGCACATTTCCCAGGGTCACAGACAGCTCGATGCGGACGTTATTGCAGATCTCGTGATAGGTACCTTTTTGTATTTTAGATGTGTGAATGAACACGAATGTGTAATTAAATTCGTTCGATGTTATCGAGGCACTGATATCCTCTTCAATGCAGGGATGATAAAGTCTGAACCATCTGTGTCAATCTCTTTGGTGCAAGAAAGGATAACTGCTAAATATGGCTTTCAAGTTTCCTACAGAAAGGCGTGGTATGCGAAGCAGAAAGCGATGGCAATTCTGTACGGTGATTGGGAGGAATCGTATGCTTTTTTACCAAGGTGGTGCGAATACATGCTTCGCTTTTCTCCAGGTTCATTTTATCATATACAAACTAATGATCTTTATGCCGAGCAGAGCTTAGTTTATGGAAAAAAAGGTTTTTCATCGCATTTTTTGGACGTTTAGACAGTGTTGTGAGGCATTCAAATTTGTCAAACCCGTCATACAAATTGATGGAACACATTTATATGGAAAGTACAAAGGGAAATTGTTGGTGGCCACAACCCAAGATGGTAATAATGAATGTTTACCGATCGCATTTGCCATCGTAGAAGGCGAAACTTTGGAAGCATGGGATTATTTTCTCGTTAATATTCGTGCTCATGTGACTATAATGTCAAACATATGTTTGATATCCGATCGACATCGAAGCATAATATCTCCTGTGGAAAATAACCTTACTTGGCAGCCGCCAAATGCGTATCACGTATTCTGTATTCGTCATATTGCAAGCAACTTCAATCAAAAGTTTCGGAATGAAGATTTGAAGCGGATGTTAAAGAATTTAGGTATACTCATTGACTGAATGCGTAATTATTTCTTTCCATTATGACTGTCAATTTATGTTTAATTCATTCATGTCCAATTTGTGCAGGTTATACTCCAACAATGGTTGATTTTGAAAGGAATCTTGCGAGTTTCCGTGAAAGTAGTCGTCAAATTGCTGAGTGGATTGATGTGATTCCTAAGGAAAAGTGGTCGCGTGCCTACGATATTGAAGGACGGAGGTACGGTCATATGACAACAAATTTGGCTGAATCTGTCAATAGGGTTTTGAAGGGGGCCAGAAATATGCCTATAACAGCATTGGTTAAGCATACATATAGCAGATTGGTTGCATATTTTGTTGAAAGAGGAACAAATGCTCTTGCACAACTTTAATCAGCTCATCGTCACTCCAAACATGTTGTTGAATTGGTCAAGAAGAACCAGGTGGATGCAACAGGCCACCACGTTCGTGCATACAATGTTGAACATACTGTATTCGAGGTTGACGCAGGTTGGGAGCGTTCATATTCTGTCAACCTCCCACAGAGATACTGTCAATGTGGAAAGTTTAAGGCCTTTAAGTATCCGTGTAGTCACGTCGTTGCTGTTGCGTTAAGTGTTAGGTAGAGTGCGTTCACTTACGTTGACGACGTCTTCTTGATAACTAACTTGGTCGAGGCTTATTCTTTTCTGTGGGAGCCAATCGGAAACGAGGAAACAATACCTGAAATTAGTGGTGCAAAGATTATTCCTGATTCTACTATGTTGCATGCAAAAGGTCGTCCAAAGTCAACTCGCATCCGCAACGAGATGGATGAAGTTGAGACAAGCCAGAGCTGTATCAGGTGTGGACTTTGCAAGGAACGCGGCCATAATCGTCGACGATGTCCAAGTCGTGGGAGAAACGACTGATTTGCATATTATGTCATTATTTTGTTGTTGGTTATGTTATTGCATGAATTGTAATGTCCGTTATGTTGGACTTTTTACTTTCCGTTTATGTATGTTTTTATTCTTGTATTATTAATTAACTGATGTTGTTAGTTACCGTAATATAAATGCGCAAAGGACGACAACCAAAACATAAATAATAACGCATAATGAATAGTCCAAAAAATATAATAATGTAGCGTCCACAAAATAACAACATGCTACACTCATAGCTAATACAAAAGAACAAAATAATAACAATATGAAACAGTCCACAACATAGTGAATACTCAAAATGGCAATGAAACTACGACCACGGTGGCCATGACCTATGTCGTGCATCCCTATCTGGCAGTATACGTCTGTCCCAGACTGGGTCACCCTGATGCACCTGTGGAGGTGGAGTGTGGAAGTCATCCATCGCCGCACGGATGAAATCATCTGATGGTCCTGCACTGCTGCCTGACACATCAAAAAGGGTGTGTCCCTGACTGTGAGAATATGTGGCTAGAGTCTCCCCACTGTCCAAAAACAACAGCACAAGCAGCGTGCCAATCCTTAGAGGTCGATCCGATGACGACAGTACCGTCGGTCGGCAAGCCCAAGATGCCTGCCACATCTTGTAAGGTGATCGTCATCTCACCTTGGGTCATGTGAAAGGTATGTGTCTCTGGTCTCCACCTCTCGACCAGAGCACTAATTAAAAATGTATCTATCTGTGATAAATTACGCAGTTATCACGTGTTAGCGAATTTTATTAAATAATTACATAAATACAAAACGACATAAATAACATACCTGAATATGTTGCATCCTGACAACATGTATGAAACTCGCCTGTCTGAGGTACTCTTCCACAACCTGTGGAATAACACCGGTAGGTGGGCCCCCTTGTGGCTTCCCACACCTAGTCTTAATCTTTCTTACATGCTCAGTATTCCACACTCGCTGTGAAATATGACCTTTCTGCGTCCTCTTACGAAGGACCTCCCACCTGTACGGCCCAGGTATGATCCACATGCTGGGATCGGTGGGCTCTACACTCGAATCAGATCCCGAAGAAGATGATGACTCAACCATTATCCTCAACTAACTACAAAGTTATGCACTCCCGCATTAATAACATCATACATACGAAATTTACAAAGTCTCTAACACTATTTATAAATCACTAATTAATATGCTAAACCCTAATACATAATTAAAAATCGGAAATAATAATAACTACGTAATGATAATATTACTATATCATTGCAACATTCATAGCATGACACAAAATTTCTAAGTGACTATCCTAATGTTCCAAGTCTCTAATATACAATCAATCCTAACATGTATTACTAACTAGCATTGTAATTTAAATGTATACATATGAGGTATTATGACCTTACCTACGTTGGCAGAGCTTCGCTACGAACCGCGGTTAGAGAGAGGTTGGAGAGAGGTTAGAGAGGTAAATGAGTAAGGAGTGAAAAAAGGAAAGTGAGGTATATATAGGTTGCACATGAGACGCTCTTTTGGGCGTCACATGTGACGCCCCAATGGGGCGTCTTCTCCAAGGGCGTCTCATTGTGCAACAGATGTGTAATTTTTAACAAAACAACATTAAATGCGTAATTATTTTAATTTTTTTGCCACGGTTAAATAGATATCTATCTTTAAAATAAAATAAAATAGATATCTAATCCGGAAATGAATCTTTTGTGTGAAAAAAATATATAATATGGTCATGTGAAAATATCACAATCATACAAAGGTACATCAACAGTTATGATTTAGTAATTACCTATTTTAGCATTTTTTTCTCTTCTCTTTTATTATCATTGATCCACTTTTGTACGATTATGTTTCTTCACATGACATGGTCATATAAATTTTCATATGAGAGGATCTAGATCTATCTAATCGATATTATAAACCCAAAAGACGAATATGATTCTAACTTCGCTTACAAATATTTACAAGCAGCGACAAAAAGTTAGCTACTCTACTATCATGCAAAGCTGGCAATCAGATTCACTGATTAAAGTTCAAGCCTCCCATAAAAAAAAAAAAAAAGCCCTCTAAATACATTTTCTATTTTAATTTCTTAATTAATTTCATTTCACCGTTACCAATTGCACGACGCATTTTAACAACGCCAATTCAAGATATAACATAAAATAAAACTGTAGAAAAAGTAGCAACCTCAGTAGAGACACTATCACAGTCACATAGTCTAGAAAGCGCGGAAAAAGAGAACAATCAAATTAAAAGATAAAACGAAAACCCTAAAACTAAACCCTTCCATTTCTGGGTTTTTGTATTGCGTTAGGGTTTTACCTCTTCTTCTTCCTCATTCTCGTTCTTCCAACAATGGCCGATACTAGCTCCGTTGACGCCTCTCTGTGGTGGGACTCATTCACTCTCCTCCTTACAGAGCTCGAGAATTCCTCTCTATCTTCAGATCTCCCACCCAATTTGGTACTCTTTCAACTATCTATCCTTGTCTTCCTTTGCGTCTTAGTTAATTTCTGCTTTTACACGAATCATTTTGCTGTTTATTTAGGCGAAGAAGTTGAAGGACAACCATTCCTGGTTCGTGGATACACTTTCGCGCTTCAAGTCGCCGAATCAGAAATCCAAGGAAGCTCTCAATTCGAAGAAACTGAAGATTGGACATCACCAGCTGACTATTCTACCTCACCTTAAAGATAAAACTTTGCAGACTAGCTCCTTCTTGGTAAGTTGGTTCCTCGTTTGTGCTCGCATACTGATTGTAGCTCTTAATGATCATTACTATATTTTCATTTTCGTCGTTGTCTTTTTGTTTCGGGTTGATGAGTTTATGTTGCAGTGAAACGTTTTAATTGCTGAGAGGAAAGTCGAATTATGTTTTGACATTAACATTTAAAAATTTATTCTATGATTGGAAGTTATTTTATCTTAGATTCGTGTTGCTACGGAATAGCTTAGTGTTTAGTTTTTCACCCTCTGTATTATGGGAAAGTTACTTCTTAATGTCAATTATCAAGGGAATTCTGCTGATAGTCTCGTGGTGGCTTTCTATTGCTATTCTTGTTTATTTCAGCTACTAGATGAGGTTCAATCATATATACTTGTTGAAAGGTTCATCAAACGTAACAATGCAGCTGCTGATTCCATGTCTCCAGGGTTTCTTCACATGGTTAGTAGCGCAATCCCCCTCCTGCATTCATTTATTGTTTGGATCGTGTGAAGTCATAGTCGGATGGATTCCCAAATTTTTTTTTTGGAAATTCTTAGGTGACGTTTATTGTTTGAGACTTGAGAGTAGCAGTTGGGAGTTTAGAGATTTGACATAGTATTATGAATGGTTTATACTGTTGCACACAGTGCATTTCGAGTTACATATTTGGTCTTTGGTAGAAGGTTTGATGCCCTCATTTAGAATCTCACTTTATGTTTATAAAACTTATGCTGTCTTTTTGTTCTCTCAACTTGAAACCTTTCTGTCTCTTCCTGTTTCTGGCTTTTATCATTATGTGCGATGGTGATCAGTTCATGATTTCTGGTCTGATTTTTAGGAATAGACAAGTTCCTGATTTCTTGCTCCTATTGCCTTTCCTATTTTTAGGCCTAGATTAGTCTTCAGTATTTTCCCTAATTCCCTATATATACTGCTACCTTGTAACTAACAGAATAAGGAAACTACAATATTTTCTTTAATGTGTTTATGTTATTAATCATATTTTGCTTCTCTAGATTGCTGTTGAGATATATAAAACCATTAATGTAGCCTCACCCAATAGCTTAAACTTTTGAGTTGAATTGGTTCTTTACATGGTATCAGAGCCTCAGTCTACCGGATTCGATCCTCACCGCCTCCCACTTTCTTTCTAGTGAGATTTCTTTCTTCGCTAAGGTAGGTGGGCTTGTGCATCGTCCACCCTTCAAGCCCAGTGGGCTCTAGTGTGAGGGGGCGTGTTGAGATATATAAGGTCTAGTTTGAGATTGATAGTTCTTGTGGAAAATTGTTTTCTCAAAAAGTGGGGCGGCATTGCTGACAGTATTCTCCCGTGATACTTTCTTTTAATTTCCTGTTTCTGATTTCTTTTCTTTTTTGTTGTGAAGATGCTAATTCAATATTACAAGGAGCGACAGTGCTTGCTGAAATGCATCAGGTGGATTATCATGCATGCTAGTAAGTGTATCATGTTGTTTTTATGGTCACCTAATACTTGCTCTGTCAATTCATTGTATTTGTGCGTACACACACATTCAGTTTGTATAGGTTAAGTAAACATTTCCACTTGATGTTAGTTGACTTTTCTTGCTGATATTACTTTGGGTTTTGACTCTTCATGCAGTATACATTGGTTCTGTGTCTGAAGACAATATTGTGAAGGAGGAAGCAAGAAAGCTCTTTCATGATGGACTGGAAAGTAAATTAGTATCATTTTTTGAGGACCATTTGTCTTGCAGCTACCCAGAGCAAATGGTATATTCAATCTCCATGTACCATCCTTCTTTAGTTTTGCATGACTATATACGGGTAGCTAACTTATATACAATATGTGATCCGCTCATTTAGATGTAATTCTTTTAGCCTATGTGCATGTTGTAAAATTAATAGTCGAGTCTTGTTGTGTAGCATATCTTCTTGCCATTCTCTTTCATGTTCTTGATTAGTGTGCTATGTATCTCCAAGTTCCAGGATGCTGTAACAGTATATTACCCTATGGAGCATGTGAAACACTAGATATTGGAATAATATTCCCTTTTTTTCCCTTAGATGGGATATTTCTTTGCCTTCAATTGGTATCTTAATGATACAAGTGTTTTGTGGACTGAAAGTTTTATTGCTTGGTGACTCAACATATGTTAATTGTGGAATACTCGAAGGATGTTGATCTTTTTACTCTGTGGGCTGAGGAGACTCTAATTGAAGACAACTTGGTTTTAGACATCGTTTTCCTGGCATATTATGACTCATTTTGTATCTGTAGTGGTGAAGTATGGAAGAAGTTTGGTTCTCTTTACAAGGTATATTAATATACTTCTGCTGATACTTGATTTGTTTTGTGATATTTTCATAAATCAAATCCTTGCTCAAAATCATCTTGCATCCAGGGGATCTTAGCTGGTGAATATAACTTGGGAAAGCTGGCAATTACTACAGAAGCACAACAGTTGTCTTATAATGCCAAAGTTCAGCTTCTGCTAATTTTAATAGAAACCCTGAACTTAGAGAATCTTCTTCAAATGGTTCATGATGAAATACCTTACAGGTTAGTCTAGTCGTTATTTACATCATAGTCGGTTCTTTTAAGTTTTGAAGAAAACACATTGTGCGATAGTTTGGTTAAACTAATGAAATATTGTGAATTGCATGGACATAATCTGAAACCTCATTTCTGATGCAATGACTGGATCAATACTTGACTCAATGTGGTCTGCCAGACTCTGTCTTGAATCTAAAATAAATTCCACTTTGTTGGGGAAAATTTCTTGTGTTCTGAGGCAATCATGATTCAGATGTTCCATTATTTGAGGCTTGCCTACTTAAATTTTATTTCATTCATTTTACTAAGTAGAAATTTCAATGTGCAACTAGGGACGAAATTGCATAGTTTGTCATATTCTGTTCTTCAGTGAAATCTATCAAACTCTCACCTTGAAGGCTCTTATTTTTGTTACTTTGTAATGTTCGGAATATCGAAGTTATATGTGGAAAGTCATTGTTAGAGTTCTTTGATTTTTCCTGTAATGCAATTTATCTATTTTGATTATTATTTTTAATTTGCCAGCCTTGTACATGGAAAATGTCCTTGTTAGTTGGAATGATGTAGTGATTTTCCTTGTCTGGAACTGTGGGTTTTAATTCAACATCTTCATTCCCATTTTAGTGCCTGTGATCTTCTTATTATCCTAGTTATATAGCCTTGCATAAATAGGCTGCTTGTATTTTTTGATTTTTTTTCGATAATACGTTTTGTTAAGTGCTGCAAAATCTGTTTGGATTTCCCAGGAAAGGTGTGTCTATTTTTCCCTTGACTGATGTCCAAGGGATGGATGCACTAGTTTCTACACTCAGTGCTTTTGAGATGAATGAAGCTGGTCCTCTAGTTCTAGCGTGGGCAGTGTTTCTTTATTTGCTCTTGACACTTCCCGAAAAAGATGAAAATAATGAGCTAATGGTACATGGTTAAGTTATGTGAAATTTTTATTTTCTACTTTTGCATGTTTTTGTGTATTACAACGTTGACCCTTTTTCTTTTCTCTGCATCCAGGAGATTGATCACATTGGTTATGTTCGTCAAGCCTTTGAGGCTGGATCCTTACGTTATTGTCTTGAAATTTTTCAGTGTGACATTTTGAAGGATTATGATGTGCGTCATTGGTACTTGGGTAGCATAACTTGTTATAGTGGATAAATTTTCGTTAAACCTTGAATGATTCCTCCCTTTCCTATTATGAAGCATTCAGCTTTCTACTATGCTATGCTTGCTAAATTGTGTTTATAGTAAGCAAACTAAGCATGATATATTTTAATATTTGTTTTCATATTATTTTGTTAGTATAGTGTATATACTCTTAATTTTGTATATCCTGCTGTTATTTATTACACAATAAATGATTTTTTCAATTCAGGGCCCAGTGGCTGGTTATCGCAGTGTCTTGAGGACATTCATATCTGCATTTATTGCATCTTATGAGATCAACCTTCAGGTATGTTTGTAAAATCTATAGTTAATTTTAAGTTGATTTGCATCCTATTCATTTGGTCTACTCTATCAAAGTTACAGCCAGAGGACAGTAGCCCCACTTTGATACTGGATATTCTTTGCAAGATTTACCGTGGAGAGGTTTGGATGTATAATCATTGTCCTTCAGTTCTCTCATTGCTTCAGTATCATGATATCTGCTAGTGATGAATTATTGATTAAAGTACCGTGCTCCTTAACTTTCAGGAATCACTATGTATTCAGTTTTGGGACAAGGAAAGTTTTACAGATGGTCCAATTCGGTTTCTTCTTTGCAACCTAGAAAGTGAGTTCCCTTTCAGGACAGTCGAACTCGTACGACTCCTGTCATCCCTTTGTGAAGGAACTTGGCCTGCAGAGTGTGTGTAAGTAAATAAATAATTGATGTTTATCTATTATCTCATATTGCAATTACACTGCCGTTGGTCTCTCAAACTCAAAAGCACATTTTTTCCCCCCTTAAATTGTTGGTAGCCTTTCCTATGAATGCATTTTGTCAACAGGTATAACTTCCTCGATAGGTCTGTTGGTATATCATCCTTGTTCGAGATTAGTAGTGATTTGCAGGCAGATGGCGTCTCTGGTATAGTTGAGGCACGGAAGGCAGTACGAGTTCCTGGGATTGAAGGTTTGTTTATTCCTGCTGGAACTCATGGCCGTGTCTTGAAAGTTGTTGGAGAGAATACTGTCCTTGTACGATGGGAGGTAGTTGTTCTAATACTGTCTAGTATTTATTTATTTTTTTCTTTGTGCTTCCTGTTCCCTTATTCATGGTCTATAATCATAAATTTCCTACACAACAACTTTTTGGTGATATGGAAATAGATGACCTAGAATTTTTTTAAAATATTATTGCTTATTCTAGTATTTATTTTTTGTCTCCTCTTTGACTTGGGATAGACCTGGAAAGATCAATAACCTGAAAATCCAGCCAATGCATCTATAGAGGCTGGTTTTGAAAGGTCCTAATAGAAAGAGATCAATTTTTATTTTGAGTAACTACGTGGTACGAAAAATCAATTTATTGAAGTCCACCAAAGCTGATTGTAGGTATTTGTTTTATCTACACCTGGTTTCAACTAAATTACTTGCTTGCCAAACCCAAACCCAAACCCAAACTAGCAAAATATTTAGAAACTCTATTAATTCTTTGGTTATGAGTTTTCGGTCTGAATTTTATTCTTAAGTGATAATAAAAAAAAATGCTGGTGTTTCAGTTTTCAATTCTTCAAGTGCTGTTTAGTTGCCAATTATAAAAGTAGCTGCTGATGTTTTATACTCCTTATAAATTTTACAGTAATTTGGAGACTAATATTTCTTGGAGGTGGCTTCGTGTCTGATTGGGAAGTCTTATTTTTAGGTTCTCTTCTCCTTTTAAGCAGAAGTATAGCCAAATATGTTTTACAAAAGCTCTTATTATAAAGAGTTTTTTGTTATAATGAATACAAAAAACAGAAGCTAAAAGCTCCCAAAGAGGAGTTTTTTTAAGATGTATACTGGCTTTTTAGAGTTCTTATATTTCTTTTTCAGCTTCACCCTTATTCTAAATTTGTATTTACCAATTTTACTCTTTACCCTAATAATCCATCCTAATAACAAATTATTTCATCTTCCCTATTTCAGAACCCTCATAACAGCTTATATAATCACCAAACAACTTTTAGCTTTATTTTTTAAGCTCTTTTTTTTTTTTTTTTTTTTAAACTTTAGCTCAAAAAGAAGATGTCCCAAACAGGCTTTCAGTATCTCATCAATATAATCTCAATTTCTCAATTCATGCTGACAAAATCTTCATTTTTGCAGTATGCAACATCTGGATTGTTAGTGTTACTCCTACGTTTGGGCCAAGATATGTATTTAAATAGCAAGGAGGAAGCTGTTTTCACTCTTGACCTGTTCAGTAGATTGGTGTCCTTTAACACTGTAAGTTGGTTGGAAATTGTTGCAACTTTATCATGACTGATCTATGGATGCATAATAAACAATCTAGTATTATATTTCTCATGGATGACATAGTGTGATGAGACTTAAAGGTTTTGAGTAGTATTTTTAACAATAAGATATGTGCATCAGTTGTTTTGGCAGTAATCTTTTTGTCTGCCTAATGAAATTCAGTCCTTGATTGTTAATTTTGACTTAAAATTGGATATGATTATAACTTTTTTGTTTTTATTTGTTGGACCGGCATTGGTTACCATGGTATACTTCTAGCCGTCTAGTGTAGTTGGTTCTATCCCCTCAGTTTTTTTTAGTAAATTTATCAAATTCTGATAGGTTCTAGGAACATTGAGAACTAAACGAAAACAATCTGAAAATGGTATTATCTACAACTGGTCCTCCTAAGAAAGCTAGCAATTTCACCACAAACACTCAAGAAAGTTGAAAGAAATTACAAGGTAAAAGAACTACTGCAAAAGAGGAAACATTGTCGAAGATAAAATTGCAGAAAAGGAAAATTAATAGTTCAGTAGCATTCAAGAGGCCACTGTTCTCTCCCAAAATCCCAATTCCAATCCTACCAAAAGCATGACTATCCTTCTTGCTAATCTCTATTTATCCTCATATGCCCATGTTTGTTGTTACACAATATTCCTCCCAACAAATTCTGGAATATTTCCCTTCAACAGAATTGCTAACATTGTTGTTAAAATCGCGATTTTACACGTAGGATCGTTCAATCCTATGATTTTTTATGCCATGACAGCCCTATTCAAAAATTCTTGCTACATAAGGAGCTGGAGTAGTGGCTTTAGATTAGAGCATGATAGATCCTTTGAACAACTTTGCATCCATCATGAAAAATTTCAGAAAGAGAAGGTAATTTTTTCTTACCAAGAATTTGAACCCGAATAGGGTCATATTATGAGTTGAGACCACAAAGAAAATCAAAAATCCTATTTCGTTCAATGGAGGTGGTCAGAGTGGCTGCATCCTTGCTACACTCCATCTTCAAACTTTGGTACTGATCAAGATCAGTCCATAACTCATTCAGAATACCATAATACTCTGTTAAAGAGACAGAGCCTTGCTTGGTAGAAAAAATCCTATTCCTCAAATCATAGCAGGTAGCGGCATCTTGCTTCATTGAGTAAGTTTGTCTAAGAACATCCCAGATCTCGAGCGGTAGGTAAGAACATGCAATGTTGACTAACCTCAAGAGTCATAGAGTTCCATAGCCACGTCATAATAAGAGAGTCTTCATCATCCCAATTAGCAAGTTTTTGATCTGTTTTGGTAGGAACAGGTCCTTCAAGATGAGTAATTTTACGAGGCCCTTTAAGGATGGTACGAACAAGCTGGGACCATTGCAAGTAATTCTTTCCATTAATTCGGTAATTCTGATGAAAAGGAGGAAGGTCATTTGGATAAAGAACAACTGTCGAGCTTATACCAGATGATTGACTGGTTGGAGTATCTTCAACGTCTGACATAATTCTGGCTAAAACAAAAGAAACGGTCAAACAGTAAATAAAAACACCGTTGGAACAGTAGCGAAACTCTGTGGGTAGACCGTGATCAAGTCAAAATGACAAGAGAAGCACAGATCCAGACCCAGGAGGAGGCAAAGTTGTCTGTCCAAGTCACGCGTGAAGACTGTGCCCGACGCGCCGTTGCAAAATCAGACAAGGCGCGTCTGTTTCATGTGCGTGAGATGTCGTCTCGAGATAGGTCCTGGACAGAGAGGATCGCCTGGTCGTCGCGATCGCAAGCGTGGGTGGATCGCCGGAAAAGTCGTCGGAATAGTGATCGGAGACGCAAGAAAACTCGCCGGAACAGTGATCGGAGACAGTGGTCTTCAATAGTGACGATGATCTAAATAAATAGTGGTCTTGGTCCAACAATGAACAAGGTCCCCGGAAAAATTCTCCAGTGGCGGCTGATGGCGGTTAGATATAAAAATAAGGATTTCTCTTTTTAAAAGCGATAGTTGCAGAAGCAGAGCCCTCAGAATTGAGAGCTTTGATACTAGATTGAATTGTATAATATTAAATAGATGTAATAGTTGTACAAGAGTTCTCTATTTAAAGAGACTAAAAGATCTAATTGGTTAAGCCCAAATACACTTCTAGAGTATTTTAGCTAATACAAATAATAAATAAATAATTCTAATAAATAATTCTAATATTTACAATAGCTTATCTCTTTATATATATATACACACGTAAATTTCATTTTTATCTTTTTTCAATCTCTTCGTATCTTTCATTTGGGTTCATTTACCACTAACCCCAATTAATTTGGGATAAATGTGGTGTTGATGTTGATTTATAACAAATTATTCTTTTGTATTTATAACACTTACCCTCATTATTGACTAACAATATATGCTAAATTTGGTCCCATATGAGCCAAATATATCAATTTACCTACTAGCCTTTAATATTAAACTCTATCAACCTTGAGACTTTCTTCATTTTCTATTTTGTGATTATGCTCAATGAGTACACTCGCAGCCTTACACTCTAGCTTTCCAATTTCCTTGAGAAGATCAAGGACATATTTTCTTTGATAAATAAAAATGATAAATAAAAATGCCTAGTTTGGAATTGGCAACTTCTATCCCAAGGAAGTACCTTATCTTTTCAAGATCTTTTATTTCAAACTCAGTTGCTAGTCTCTCATGTAGTAGTCATTTCTCAAATCATTCCCAAATAGAATGATGTCAGCAAAATGCACAATAGAATAGTAAATTTTCCTTCTTGTTAATGTTTGAAGAAAAGAACATATCACAGAAAAGGGTTCCTGAGCCTGTACGATGTCCCCTTTTTCTCTCACAGATTTTCTTACTATATGCAGGCTGTTTGTTTTGCTGTGATGGACATTAGCAATTCTCTGCAAAATCATGCTATTGGCTTGATGAATGAGAAGGTTGAAAAGAATGTCTGGTAAATTATTCAAATTGAATGCTTGTCCTTTTGCGTATCTATTTTATAGTTTATCATATTTTCTCTTCACTTGTTTGGTATCTATCAGAATTTAAAAGGGTTTTTTTTACTTGTCTTTACAGGGTGGTTGAGATAATTTGCAATCTGGTCAGAAACCTTCCTCTAAATTCCTGTGGTGCTGCACTTATGTCAATGGGCCTCAAGATTTTGAGGATTATGTTGATTTGGTAATTGAACTTATTCTTCTGTAGAAGTTGAACAATTTGTTCAGATCAAGTATTTGATCTGTTTGTATCTGAAGTCTTAAGAGTAAAAAAAACATATTTTGATGGATTGTTTGAGGATTTCCTTGTTGGCTCTTCATGATTTACCACCATTTGTTTTTGAATTAATAATGTCATTGAGAAAAGGCTTACTGGTTCTTTTCCTTTCCTTTCCAGTTCTCCATCTAATGTTACAGCTGTGACTCTAAACGCAAATCTATTTGATATCACTTTGCAGACAGGTGTTTTCAGTGTAGGCAGTAATGATTTGTCAAGGTAAAACTTTATTTTTAAAATAGCATGCATGTAGAAATTGGCAACTTACTTTCTTTGCGAGAATGGTTTGAAATTGTGTGCTTACATGAAAAGAAATGGATTATGTTAATCCTTTTGTCCTCTATTTTATGACTTCACATTTTCTTTTGTGTTTACCTCGCGGCCATGTAGTGTACTAGTGGTTTATTGTTATCGATATGTATTATAGAATATGAAGTTACATCTCCTAATTATTCTGTCTTTTTTCCAGTGGATCATGGTTGCTCTCTGGCAAACTGGCTAGAATGCTTTTAATTGACTGTGAACAAAACAGTAATGACTGCCCCTTAGCAATATCAGGTACGACTAACATGATTTCTCTTCCATTTTATTGGTATAATGTTATTTATTTGTTTCTGATTGTTTGTCTCTTGTATTCTTATGCTTATCCTGCTTGCTTTTGAAAGTTGGACTGTATGAAATAAGTCTTATTTTTCCCAAATATTTGTATTGATTTTGCTGTTATCTTTTTTGCTTCTTTCTTGTTCCTGATTTTATATACACAGACAGCCTCATTGACAACTTGGGGTACTCAATACATTGGATGCTTATTTTGAAAGAGTTTGCAAGCTTTAGTGCTTTGGTAGACTTAGAATTCTTATAAGATGCTATACTTATCTAGGAGCGCCTTTAACTGCAGTACAGCAAATTAACTGAGTGTATGACCAATAACCAGAAAAGGGAAAAAAGACTATTATAATCCACTCTCGTATTTATGGCAATATACAGACGTATATCTATGCTAATTTAAATTTGTTAAGAAATAATTAATCAGAATTGTTGCTTTGGCTTGCTTTTGTGGAGTTCTGTTCTATATTACATACATTTTCTCCATATTCTTATGTTTTTGTCCGAATAGTGCAGTGCTTGACTTCACCATACAGCTTGTAGAAACCGGAGTAGAGAATGATGCTCTCCTGGCTTTGATCATTTTCTCTTTGCAGTATGTCCTAGTCAATCATGAGTACTGGAAATACAAGATGAAGCATATTAGATGGAAAATAACATTGAAGGTATGTCCTCCTTCTGTTTGAAGTAGTACAGTTTTGTACTCAGTTTTGCTTATCCCTCTTCATGAAAATATGTGCTGTTAATTCTCCTTTGTATACTGAATTAAAGAATTAATAATGAACTTTTCCTTTTCGTTCAAATCGGTTTTGTAGTTTCATATTTATTTTCTTCCAGTACAATCAGCGTTGGCTGTGGAGCTGTTTAAAAGCTCTGTTCTGGTTGCCTTATATATGCCCTTCATGTTGAAGTTGTGATGAATGCGTCTTATTTGATGAACTCTGCCAGTATGATGTGTTGCTAGTGGTTCTCTGTTGGCATATTTTGTTGATAAGGAAAGGTGATAAGAACTTTGGGATGCACCACCCCAAAAGCTAGCTCAAAAGGTGAGAGTGCCCAAGGCCTTATAAACCCCACATTAGTTGCCCATACATTTAATGTGGGACTCTAAGTCTCATACCTTGCAAATGGGTCCTGACATTCCACCACGCTCTGCAGCCCCGGCTCTCACGCGGGCTGGTTTTGCGCTAGTCTTTTACTAGCCTTGGGCGAACACTGCAATCTGACGTCACCATCCACGCCACTCTATTGCAACTGAGAGACTTAGTGGAAGGCTCTGATACCATTTGATAAGAACCTTGGGATGCACCACCCCAAAAGCTAGCTCAAAGGGTGGGAGTGCCCAAGGCCTTATAAACCCCACATTAGTTGCCCGTACAACCAACGTGGGACTTCAAGTCCCATACCTTGCAAATGGGTCCTAACAAAAGGTCTTTGTTAATTTAATATATGTTTGATCTTCACTGGTTATCTTGTGCAATTGAAATCTTAAAATTTTATCTGCATTGTGGATTATTTGATACAGTTTTTACTGCTGCTGTTCGAAGTTAATGTCAATCGCTACTAATTTATTGCTAGCACTAACACACTGGGGCGTGATTTTGGAAAATAACTAATATATTTATAGTGTAGGTTTTATACAATTAAGAATTAGGATTATGCCGTTGTGAATAATTTCAAACTTTGGGTTACTATTGCAGGTTCTTGAGTTGATGAAAAAATGCATAATATCAATGCCATATTATGGAAAATTGGGTGAGATCATTCGCAATGTGTTGTTCACTGATTCTTCCATCCACAGCACGCTCTTGCAAATTGCTTGCACTACTGCACATACCTTGGAGGTGACATGTTGAAGCTTTTCAGGTTTATTTGTCACCCATTTATTAAAGTATTATGCTTTTTCCTATATCTTATTGACAAAAGGACTTTTTTTTAACAGAAATTGCATGTAAGCCGCCTCTTTGATCCAATGGAAATTGAAGGGTTACAGCTTGCTATAGGTTCTGTTTTGGACATTCTTTCAGTCATGCTGACCAAACTTTCTAAGGTACAGAGGAAAACCACAAAGATTTTATCTTAAATTATAGTTATAAATTTTAATGGTTGTGTTGGTTTCATATTTTTACAGAAATTCTTGTGATGATAGTGAATTCATGGAATATCATACTTTTCTTTTGTTACCCATCTTTTAAGTTGTTGAGGGTTATTGTTTTAGTGCTATAAATCAATGGTATTTTATTATCTTTTGTTATCCATAACTTTCTCTTTTGTCATTATTATCTATATCTCTACATTATGGAAATACTGAATATTATTCTGCGTTGCTCAGGATACATCATCAAGCTTTCCTGTTTTTCTTCAAGCAGTGTTCTCAAGCACAACCAAGCCAGTTCCTGTTGTGACTTCTGTTATATCATTGATTTCATACTTCCGAGATCCTGTATGAACTCTCTATCCTTGCTCAAATTGGAGTGTCATTTCATTTTTCTGATTCTTTTAATGCACCTACTTACTCTGAACTATACCCTCTAGCCGTGGTGGTAATGAGTTTTTATTGAACAATAACTAAAATATGCCTGTTTTCGTTCTCTTTTCTTCCATCAATTAGACATCTTTGAACACTTAAGTGTACAGTACTTCATTAGTCACATATTGTGTTATTATTGGTAATGGCATCAGCTGAATAAGGAACTGATTTTGATAAAATTTGCTATCTTATCTCTAGTTTTCATAGTTACACTTAAATTGTCAACTTGTCATCTCTCTTTTCTGTTTGTATTGCCTTATTTTGTTTGGCATACTTGCTCCCACATTGCCTTCATGAAGTATACATTTCATGATTTAATCAAGCATTTGATGCCATAAGCAAGTGGGCCCTACATATCTCTTTGATAGTTTATTTGTTACTTATTTTACCACCCTTTCATTGAATATCTACTTGATGATACCTGATTTTCTATTGCATTGCTTGACAGACGTCTTGTCTATGTAGGCCATCCAATTAGGTGCTGTCAGGTTTATTTCAACATTATTTGCCGTAGCAGATTGTATTCAACCATTTTCATATGGAACTACTTGCTATGCTCCAGATAATGAGGAGGTTTGGGGTCTTAGTTTACGGTTCTTTAACTTTATTGTTCTTTTAGCTTATAGGCCTAATTTAAGTGATAATTTTTCTAATTGGTTTTAGATCATAGATTTGCGGCACTCTGTGAGCTACATATTGCGGGAACAATCGATATCAAATGAAGATCTCTTTGTTGCAACTGTTAATCTGTTTACTTCTGCAGCACATTACCAGGTTTAAATTATGTATAGTAAATTAAAGAATTGGATTTCACATTTTCTGTGCAGAAGTTACAAGGTTACTCGCACTGATACCGTTTTTGGTTATGTCTGGTGCTGGCAATAAATTTTAAATTTCAAAATGAATACTACAAGTTTTTGCTTCTCTATCATCATGGAAATATGTCTACAGTTTGTAGGTTTTTTTAATTAAAAGTATATTACTAATATTAGAGTTTCATTGAATGTTGGCTTGTTTATCAGTCATTTGCACTTTGGAAGCACAAATATCTGTGAAATGTAGCCAACTGTTCAAAATGCTTTCACCAAAAGGAATTAGTGTCTTCTACACTGGATATATTGTTTAAATTCCTGTGAAAGTTGATTTTAAATTATGGTATCAGAATTCTGTTTCAGTTTTTTCTTTTGTTGAGAAGAGAAAGGGGGGTCAATGTGACCTTTTTAGCATTCTCAGTTGTGTTCAATCATCATTTTCTTATTTGACGTTTCTTTTGGCAGCCGTCTTTTACTGTTGTTATCTTCGCTCCAGAGGAAAACAATGAAGATCATAGTATTGATGATGCAAAGCTGCAAAGGAATGAAACTTCTCTTGTACCACTAGATTCTAAAAAGTCAAGTCTAATAGTTTCACTTATGCACTATATTGAAAGGGCAGATGATCTGATCAAGAGGTACCAGAGTTTTTTTTCTCGTTGTTTTTAATCTTTTTTTCCTTTAGTTTTTATCTTAATTGCTTATTCTTTTTATTGGTTTGCTTGCTTTTCATCCATATTTAAATTTAAATGAGTTACTCATATTGTAATTTTCTCTTTATGTCCAGCAATCCCCGCATACTGCTTTGTGTACTTAACTTTATGGTTGCCTTATGGCAAGGGGCTCTCCAGTATGCAAATCTCTTGGAATCTCTAAGAAGCCATGGAAAGTTCTGGAAGCACTTGGCCAATGCAATCTCTAATATTGCTAGCAGTGAAACGCCCCTACTTGACACTCTGAAAGAAAAAGATGCTTTCAATCTGGCATATAGTTTCCATTGTCAATCTGCCATACTGGCAATCATGGCATATGAATTATTCTTGCAGAAAAAGTTATTGCATGCAGAGTCGCTTGTGAAGGATGCAGCTGAATCTAAGGAAAAGGAGCAAAATGCCACAAAAAGTGAAAAATCTAAAGCCACAGATTTTGATGATCTTAAGGGAATCTGGTCTTCATGGTTCAATGACTGTGTTTTAGAGAAACTAATAAAGTCATATACTTCTTGCGTATATAATAATGATATATATTATGGTGCAAAGGTTAGCTTGATGTTATCTTCCTTTTTGATTTAATAGGTGATAGTCTTTATTATGATTAGGTAACTTGGATCCTATGTTGAGATATATAGTCCCACGTTGATTGTGTGGGCAACTAATGTGGCCTTTATATGGCCTTGGGCACTCCCACCCTTTGAGCTAGCTTTTAGGGTGGTGTATCCCAAGGTTCTTTACATGGTATCAGAGCTTGAGTGACTATAAGATCACAAGTTCGATCCTCACCGCCCCCCACTTTAAAGTGGAATTAAAATTAAAGCACAAAAAGGTAAACCAAAAATTGGGCCTGTGCAATATCCACACTTCTAGCCCAAAGGGCTCTCGTGTGAGGGGGCGTGTTGAGATATATAGTCCCACATTGATTGTGTGGGCAACTAATGTGGCCTTTATAAGGCCTTGGACACTCCCACCCTTTGAGCTAGCTTTTGGGGTGGTGTATCTCAAGGTTCTTTACATCCTATTTTATTGCAATTCCTTGCATGTGCTGTATCATAGTTTCGTTATTCTTTCAACATTTAAAATATGTTCCCTTTTGAGTCTCTACGTGATCTTTGAATAGTGCAAATCAAAAGATAAAAATTGTTCTTGTCTCGCTATGTTTATGCATGACACAATTATAGATTTACATTATAAACTTCTCCTCCCTTTTTTATTTACTTCCACCATGTAATGTAAATAGGTTGCTACCAGCTTATTCTCTGCTCATGTGATGGCAAAACTAGCTGTTAGCGACTCTGGAAGTTTATCTGTGTCATTGCTTCAGAAGATTCATGGAATTGCGGCGAAGGTAAGTTTCAAAATATTAAAGCTTTAATGTCGGGACTTCTGGTTTACATATCGTACCCTCTGTTTTCAGTTGACTATTTTGTCATCATTTTCTAATATATAGAAACGTTTCTTTTCTGCAGTTGAGCATTCATCCTGCGTTCTCTGAATTGCTATCTCAGTATTCACAGCGTGGTTACAGGTTACTAGACTTTATCCATGCATCCTATTTTTATGATCTTAATTGAAAGATTTTCTATATCAATCACGTGTCATCTGTGACACTGTTGGAACATCAATGAACTATAATTCATTTTGCTCTGCATATAATCTTGCATGCCTTTTACATGGATAATTAATTAACATTTAGAACACACTTTGAATCTGATTTTACTATCATTGTATCTCAAAGAATTTCTCAGTACTTTTAATTTGAGTGAAAAGTCATGCTTTTTCTTTCCTCCATACAATCCATGTCTTGAATTTACCTTGTCTAACTAAAACAGATGTATTTCTTCTTTTATTATGTATATGTATCATAATTTGGTTGTTTTTCTTAATTTGCACAGCGAGGGGAAGGAACTAAAGAAGTTTATACTCAGTGACCTCTGTTATCATTTACAAGGAGAGCTTGAAGGGAGAAAAATTGGTATTGGACCATTCAAAGAATTATCTCAGTTTCTTGTTGAATCAAATTTTTTGGGAACGTATCAGCACCAGTTCAATGAAGACTCTTTTGTGCAAAATTTGTACTTGTTTGACCTAATACACTTGCGAGCAGATTTGAGATTAGATGTGTGGGATTGTTCTAATTGGAGAACATCCAAGGAGATTGCAGAAACCATGTTGCGTCTCCTGCAGGATGCAAACTCGGTTATGTTGCTCTCAAGTTCAAAGCTTTCTGCATTAAAAGGATTGATAGCTGTGATGGCTGTCTACCATGATGATGTAAGAATTTAAAAATTCTGATTTCCTTTCATGCACTTTCCTATCTGAATTGTAAGGCACTAGTGTAGTAATGTTCATATACCAGTTCAACTGCTTCATGGTCATGAATTTGAGCCCTGCAATTGGCTTATGAATGATTCTTATAGGTGGAATATGATCCTGTTTTAACAAGAAGCAATGTTTAAAGATTCGTAACATTTTTACTCATCTTATTATGTTTAAAATGTCAAGGGATGATTAGAAAATTTAGTTTTGATAATAATTCCTTTTTGCTGTGGTTGTATAAGTATTGGTTTTGCCATGATGAATAGAAGTCATCAGTAGGATTTTTTGCTTTATAATTTTAAACTGCAAATGTCAAATAGGAACTGTAAAAGGGTCTTTTGTGATGGATTTTTGTTTGATTCTTTTGAGAAAGGTCACATCAATTTTTTCAATAATTTGCAGTTGGTTTCTGTTGATAGTACCCTAACAATCTATTGTGTTTTAAGTTTGACTATGGATCATTCGAAACATTTTATTATTGTGTGAAACGGATTGAGTGAGGAAGGCATGGTTTAGGATTGAAAAGCGTCTCTGATATCATGATAGAAGTGGTGCACAAGTGAGAAAACGAGGGAAAGGGAAAGAAAACGAGAGAAAGAGAAAGTGAGAGAGAGAGAATCCAAGAGAAACAGTATTCTGAAGTTTATTAATATGAAAATCTGCTTACACTGATCTAGTTCTATTACATTTATAGTATCTCAAGCATAACTGAATTTGACTCGGCATTATAATGGAATCTGACTAGGCTAACAAACCATGCTTAACTGTAATGATTCTAACAGCTATAACAACTGACGAGAACAATAACAGATACATAGCCCGTGTGTGTGAAAGAAAACTCAGCTATGAGTGAATACTCTTAACATGTGAAAAGGTATTTCAACATTGATATTCCAGTTTTCATGTACTTTCCTCAGTTTCAAGATTAGTTGAATTATTATTGTTTGCTCTTATCATTGTTAAATAGCTTTCTTCTTCCTGTCCTTCAGTGGTTGCTTGTCTTTGTTTAGTATTCACTTTTCACATGATCTTGCAGTCACTAGGGAGGGGTACTACAGGAGAGAGGATCCCAGATGAACACGTATTCACATGCATAGATAACATATGCCAATCTTTCCTTGCAACCATAGAGACTTTATCACCTGTTCTTGATGCCTCTGAGGACATACTCAATTTTCTTGCATGTCAAGTAGAGTTACTCCTCGAGTTGACAAGAACTGTATGCAAAAGCCTCTCCTTATCTGTGTCTCTACTTGTTTTGAAATGTGCAAGTTCAGGTCTTAAACTGTTGAGTGAACTTAAGTTGTTACCTTCTGGGGCTAATGTGATCATGAAACTATTGCTCACATTGCTGCTTTTGGTACTACAGTCCAATTCCCTCAATTCACATTCAGGTGGGGCAACAGATGAGGGTTCTGTTGAGGACTTCTCAAAGGTTTCAAATGCAACCCTAGGCCTTCTGCCCATTCTTTGCAACTGCATTGCAACTTCTGAGCATTGCATGCTATCCCTGTCAGTTATGGACTTGATACTGAGAAGCTTCTTGATGCCCAGGACATGGTTACCTGTCCTGCAGAATCATCTCCAGCTGCAGCGTGTTATGCTAAAACTCCAAGACAAAAATCATTCTTCAATTCCAATAATAATGAAGTTCTTTTTGACCCTTGCACGGGTTAAAGGAGGTGCCGAGATGCTTTATTGTTCTGGCTTCTTGTCATCTATTAGAGTGCTGTTTGCTGAATCTGGTGAGGCTTTCTCAAGAACTGGTAGTGAGAATCCGGGCAGCTCATGTGAAAAGTTTGAAATGCCTCAAGACATTTGGAGACTTGGATTAGCTGTGGTTACTGCTATGGTTCGATCCTTGGGAGACAGTTCTTCTGGCACTGCTATTGTGGACAACATGATACCTTACTTTTTTACAGAGAAAGCTCATCTCATTTTTTATTCCCTAAATGCCCCTGACTTTCCTTCTGATGATCATGACAAGAAAAGACCTCGGGCACAGAGGTCATGGGTTTCTTTTGCTACTCTTAAAGAAACAGAACATACTTTGATGCTCATGTGTGAGCTAGGAAAACATTGGAATTCATGGGTTAAGGCAATAAAAAATGTGGATAGACAGCTTAGAGAGAAGTGCATCCATCTTTTAGCCTTCATTAGCAGGGGAACACAACGCCTTGGTGAATCGTCAAGCAGGAATGTCCCTCTTTTGTGTCCACCTACTGTTAAAGAGGATTTTGAAATTTACTTAAAACCTTCATTTGTCAATAGCAGAAATGGATGGTTTTCTCTTTCACCACTTGGATGTGTGCCAAAACCGAAGATCTCTTCTTTCTCAACTGCATTATCTATCTATGGTCAAGCAGCTGATAGTACTGATCCTGTTCAAAAAACATGCTTCTCTGACACTGTTGCAGTGCAGATATATAGAAATACATTTCTTCTTTTAAAGTTTCTCTGTTTACAAGCCGAGGGTGCTGCTAAAAGGGCTGAGGAAGTTGGGTTTGTTGATCTTGCACATTTTCCTGAGCTTCCAATGCCAGAAATCTTGCATGGACTGCAGGTATAGTGAACTGCACAAATCAAATGCGTATACTGCTTTCATTTTTATAATATGCCCATATATAGAAGAATGTAAAGTTCTGTCAATGGTTTGATTATGCTAGCGAGCTTAAGATATGCTTTACACAGAAAATTAATTGTTATGGGGCACCTGTATCCAAGAAGCAAATAATTGGATGTCCGTCTGACCTTATTTTCTTTTGGATGCAGGATCAAGCAATTGCTATAATTACGGAGCTCTGTCAAGCCAACAAACTGAGGGTTTCCCCAGAAACACACAATGTTTGCAACTTATTGTTGCAAATACTTGAAATGGCCTTGCACTTGGAACTTTGTGTTCTACAAATTTGTGGCATTCGACCTGTATTAGGGCGTGTGGAGGACTTTTCAAAGGAAGCCAATTCTTTATTTAGTGGTAATGTTATTCTTCGTCCTTCTGTAGAACCTTTGATTATATTGCCCTTTTGTTATTTTTGTTATCTTTCTGTCTTCTGAAAAAAGTGATATTTGTTGATGCCTTATGCAGCATTGGAGGGCCATGCTTTTCTAAAAGCATCTAGTAAGTCTTTAAAACAGATGATATCATGTGTCTATCCTGGATTGCTGCAAGCGGAGAGTTTGATATGAGATTTGGCGTGGACATAAATAACATTTAGTTGTACAGAATTTCATAGTGCCAAGTAGTCAGCTTTCTTCTTCCACTCTCTGGATTTATGAATGTGCATTTTCTTTTCACCATTCTTTGTGATTCTACATATAGCTCTTTTTCTGTGAGATAAAGTTGTCGTCAGGCATCAGTGGGAATAATTCATATGTAGTGTGTTGCTTGATTAACGGTAAAAAATGAATCCCTTCGGGAGGATCCTATTCAAAAGGTAGATAAGTTTGACCCAATTTCGCAAGGGAGGTCAAATACTTGATTTTAACCGTAGTTCAAAATTAGTAAACGGTTATCATGCAAGTGGAATCGTATTTTGCTTGCCAGATTGCAAATCATAGCTCAAGATTTACTTTATTCGTATTTTTATGAATTTATTTTTCTCTTCCATACGCATTAAGGACGTTGTATCGCTAATGTAGTTATGATTTGGGTCATGTTGCGGAATTAAGGTTTTAAAGGAATTAAGGTTTTAAACTCCCTTTCTATACTAATTATGTTTTTAGTGTTTTGGATAGGTGTCTTAGACCCCATCGTTGATATTGGCAGCACTCACGCATGGTGTGGTTGAGGAATTAATGGTTCTCGCTATATGTACATAAATAAGGTTTTATGAATGTTATGTTAATGGGAAGTTTTTTATGTTATGTTACTCTAATAAAATAGATGGCACTATTTTATTTTTGTTTTCTTGAGTGGAACCCACATCCTTTTTATTAGAGTGACATGATACAAAAAAACTTCTTATAATAACACGAGGAGGATATTTTTACTATTAAATATTTTTGCTACTAATTTATTATCATTCTAATTATTGTTGGATTTCATTTTTCGGCCGATAATATTTGAAAGGTTTCTGAAGAAAAAAAATAGTTTTTAATATATTCTCTGTAATATATAATCATATTAGAGTGGTAGTGAATTAGTAATACAAATATTTGATAATAAGAATATCTTACCTCATATAATATTCATAAAACCCTTTAAAATAATCCAACTAATTACTAAACGCTCTCTCAAAAGGTCAGGTACTTTTGACCATTCACTTATCCACATCATCCTTTTTCGGTCTGTTTGATATATTTTATTTTTAGCTTTTCTTTTTCTTAAAAATAGAAGCTCAATCCAATATAATTTTATAAAAAAATTTAGGGTTCATTTTTATTAAAGTTATTTTAGACAACTTTGTCTAATATTTTTCGAAATAACGTAACGTTGGAGTGAAAATCGTAGTGTATTAATAATTTTAATTTATTTCAGGGATATAATAGTTTTTATGATTCTAATTTTTTAATTTTTTAATTTTTCAATTCTAAAATGACGTCTTTTGTGAACATTAGATAAAATTATCTAAAATAACATTAGATACATTTTTCCCAAAAATTTATTATAAAATTTTATTTTATAATAAAGAAAAAAATGAAAAGTTTAACCAAATATAATTTCATAAAAAATCTTATTATAAAAAGAATTTTTTTATAATAAAGAAAAAAAAAAGTAAAAGCTTACATGAGGAGTTTCTTTAAAGATTATGTCAGCTTTTTTAAGTTATTTATTTTACAAATTTATTCTTATTATAAATTTGTATTTATAAATATTATCTTTTATTCTTATAATCAATTATAATATTAAATTATTTTATTTCCTTTCCTTCAAAATTATCAAAGTAACTTTATATAATTATTAAATAATTGTTAGCTTTATTTTTTAAAATTTTAACTCAAAAATAATTTTTGTTTTAAAAAAATATGCTGAACATGCTGTTAGTGCTCTCTCAAACATCATGTCCCAGCCCTCTACACCCAAGCATCTCTGCATCTCCAACTGACGAGCTTAAGGTTGAATTTATTATTTATCGTATTGGTGGTTCATCTTTAAGCATTTTTTTGGTGCATATACCATACATTTATCCCAAAAATATAACAAATTTAGAATTTGACAATAAATACTTAAAAAGATATGGATTAAAGAAAGAAGAAAAAAATTTCTTTTTGTTAAAAAAATATACCCAGAAATTTACTCTATACAGAACCTTTTATCACCCTTTTTGTCAGCTACTTCTATAGTCTACTACTACTCCAGATCACTTAGCAATCGGAAATCCTATTATTGCAAAAAAAAAAAAAAAAAACCTTTTGAGCTCTTTTGTGAGAAAAATTTTAAACGGTGCACTATTCTGTTAGAGTATTGCAAATGATAACAAGCTATGAGAGCGTAATTTTCTTCCCTTGAGCAAAAAAAATGTATGTACTCCATTATTACTATAACCGTACAAATGATTTTTTTTTTAATTATCCACTTAGTGGATCCAGTTAATAGCATCACTGATTTGCAATTATAAACGAACTTTGCCTTTCTTTTCTTTTTTTCTCAAATAATCGTTGATGCGGGGCAAATCCGTGGTTCTGACCTCTACTTTGCCCTTCTGTACCCCACAAACCAAAAAAATATCACTTCAGTATCTTTGTAATCTTTGCTTTGCTTTGTTATTTATATATCAGTTGCATATTTTTTTTATTTTATATCCTTGACATGATATGCCTCTCTCATCACTTTTCGTAATAAAAATCTAACAATGTTCGCTCCTCGTAAGGTTCTGGACCTTACATCACACCAATTTTTAAAGAATCGACACCGTTGGGTCTTTGTCCAATCCAGATTATCCGTATAGAGAGATTGATCGTTGTTGTCCACTTTCATTTGGCCCCATCAGTGCCCTCCTGCACTGCATGTTTTCTCACATGAAGTAATTCTCACGCAAAGGATATATATATATAAACATTTAAAAAAAATAAAAAAAAATAAGAATTTAAAAATAAGCACATTCAAATTCAATCAATCCAGAAGCGGCGTCGTTTGTTTGGGCCTGAAAAAAAAAGTCCACACCTATAAAAGGCTTTGGCATAGATCGAGTTAAAAAGAATAGCATATCCGTGTCCTCGGATCCGCTCAACTAACCATAGTCAATTCCAAACTCAACCATAGTTACTTCACTTCCCTCAGAACCCGCCACGTGTCGTAATCGAACGGCCATTTCCGAAGCTATTCAGAAGCACGCGCCACTATAAATCATCTCTCCTCCTCGTTCCCAATGTCCAAACCCTAATCAATCTTCTTCATCTTCAGTTCAGTGAATCACTTATTTTTTCCCTGAAACTATGGCAAACCCTAAGGTCTTCTTTGACATGACCATCGGCGGCCAACCTGCCGGCCGTATCGTCATGGAACTCTTCGCCGATACCACCCCGAGAACCGCCGAGAACTTCCGCGCCCTCTGCACCGGCGAGAAGGGAGTTGGCCGCAGCGGCAAACCCCTCCACTACAAGGGATCCGCCTTCCACCGTGTGATCCCCAACTTCATGTGCCAGGGAGGTGACTTCACCGCCGGAAACGGCACCGGCGGAGAGTCGATCTACGGCGCAAAGTTCGCCGACGAGAACTTCATCAAGAAGCACACCGGTCCCGGCGTGCTGTCGATGGCGAATGCTGGCCCCGGAACCAACGGATCTCAGTTCTTCGTCTGCACAGCCAAGACGGAGTGGCTGGACGGGAAGCACGTGGTGTTCGGCCAGGTGGTTGAGGGACTTAACGTTGTGAAGGAGATCGAGAAGGTTGGATCCAGTTCCGGCAAGACCTCAAGGCCGGTGGTGGTTGCTGATTGCGGTCAACTCTCTTAGATGATGTTGACCGTTATGGATCTATGTGGTGGCTCTGAATCTGATCTAGACCCTTGGTGTCTTCTATCCGGTGTCGTTTTTTCGTCTTTCTCTTTCTGCGTTTACTGGTCGTCTTTTAGGGTTAGCGATTGTGTGGTGATGGTGCTTTCTCTTGATCTTTTTTAATATCAGTATGTGGTTCATAAAGTGGAGTCTTGTGATGATAAACATAAAAATGATGAGCTACCTTAAATAAAGTTAGGATTATTCTCATAATAATATTTCTATCTTTGATCTGCAAATTTATCCATGTTTAGATGATAAAGCTTGTTTTGAGTTTTATTTTAGATATAAAAAAAAAAGGTTGATTAGTAACGACATGTTAGCTATAATTAGAATTTAATATGCAAATGAGAAATTCGGTTAAATTGGACTGCTTTCATGTCGGAGGTGCGTATTTTATCAGGAATTTTAATCGATTGATTCGTGTTCACTCTTACACGTATAAAAGAGAATTTGATGCTGAGAACCTTCTACCTCTACTAAACAAGAGATTTTGAATTATTGTTTTTTATTCTTTTTCTTTTATTCGAGACTCACAAATTTGACTAAAACATTCACACTTGACAAGGCGTTGCACCGCACATAAATTTATTCTGTGCTTCATTATGTTATTATATATTTTAATGTAACACCAAGTTTATATATAGCTTGCGATGTGATTTTAGAAAGAAAGAAAAAACCATCGCTTTGTTTATAAATACATATTATACAAGGAATGATTGTTGGTTTTATTATAATTTTTTTGTTATTTTTTGTTGTAAATATTTTTATCCTTGTAAATTGTACAAAGAGAATTTAAATTATATTAATATTAATGGAGATAACACGTGCTTGTGTCTGACTATATAGTCGTGTCAAGATTATGTGATCCGAGAACAATGTCATTTGATAATATCTGTTACTAGCAGATAATATCTGTAGTAATAATATTAACTTGGGATGTGGCGCTCTGCACCTGTTAATGTTTAATGTTTATTATTTGGAAAAAATGTTTATCTTCTAAAAAATGATTATTTCAGTTAAGATTAACTATTTTTATTTAAAATTTAAATAAAAATTCCTTTTTTTTCTCATGATTGAAATTATTATATCTTTTTTTCATGATTATATCTTTTTTTCATGATTGAAATTATTATATTTTTTTTATTTAAAATGATATAATTTTATGTCTGTGAAAAAAAATATTAAATTCTCGTTATTTTATTTTCTGTTGGATTTTATTTTTTGAGGACTGAGAAACTTTTTTTTGTTATTGCTTCCGGATTGAGGGACTAGTTAATTTCGTGTTTTGTGATAAAACTTTTGTACATCTGTATTTACGTTGAAGTTTTTGGGATTTAAAGTGCGTTTGGATTGCCTTTAAAAAAAAAAGTTATTTTTATGCCTTACTTATTTTAAGAGTGTTTTTCATTAAAGTTAAAATTATTTAGATTTTTAAAAAGATATTTATTTTTTGAAAAAAAAAATTAGCTTTGGACTTTTATTTTTTTGAGATGTTTAAATTTTTAGCTTCTTAAAAAAGTAAATTTTTGATTTTTTTTATGATTTCTATTTTTTTTCAGAAATAGCATCCAAACGTGCTTTAAAATAAAAGTGCTTTTTTTTTGGGAAAAAAATAACTTCTGACTGAAAAAGAAAAATCATCCAAACAGACCTTTAAATGAAAAAAAAAGGTTTAATTGCAAAAAAAAGTTATTTGAAAAAAAAATATACTTAATTGGGTAACATTCAAGGAAAATTGACATGTGTTTTTTGCTGTACTTGTCGGACAGATAAAATATGCATATTTTATGTTTTTATCTTGGTACTTCTGTTACTGTTTCAAATTAACTGAATATTAATAATTGTGATGTTCCAAATTTGAGTCGAGTCACGATCTGTTTAGAAACATAATTACATAAGGCATTGGAGGGAACATGTCCATGCCTGATCTAAAGTGGAACTCGAGGGTGCACTTAGTTTTTTTTAATAAAAAAAAAATCTAAATGGTGAGCCTATTATACTGCAAACTGACTCTACCGTCTTTTATTTTTTTTATCAAATGACTTCTACCTGTTTTCAGTTGTTCATTAGTCATTACGGAACAGTTTGTTAATTTTTTGCTTATTTAATTAAGTAGTGTACCCTTGAAAAATTAGATTTCTCTTTTTTTACAATGGTTATAGGCAATCTTATTAAAATCGGTACGATCATTGATCCGATTGAAGTATTGGGTCACTGATTTAACCATATGATCCGATAATTATAATGTGACAACTAATTTTAAATGGTCTAAATCAATAAAAATGTGACAATTAATCAGGAGAGAGGAGAGAGGAAAAAAATTTATATAAGTGTTAATTTTTCCATAAAAGAAACACATGGGGCACGACCGCTAAAAATATTTCCCCTTGTGAGAGATATCTGTAACTTGTTTGGCTTTGGTGTTGTCATGTTCTGTCATATTCATTCAGTTGCAGACCACTTTGCCAATTTGGCTATGAATCTTCTTTTATTTGCAGAATCTTCCAGAACTTGCTAGCAACCTTTGGCAGGATGCTATTTCTCTTGCTGAACCTTTATGTTATTACTTATTGGGCTTGATTCGAAGATATAACATGAAAGCTACATATTTAGGTTTTTTTACCCTTATAACCCTTTATTAATTATTAATTACCAAAATAATCTTCATCTAAAATTATTTTAAAAATTTAACCTCCCCAACAAACTTAACATCAATCTGTCCATGTTTGACCGTTGACCACAAAACCTACCCGGGTATTTTTTGAATTTTTATGCATACCCAGGTAGGGATGGGTATACCCGGGTATAGTTCTTGAGTTCTGGGAAATTGCTTGAATTATTTACCCGGATAAGAAGGAGTGTGCCCGGGTAAATCACGACAGTAGGGTTTTTATATAACCCAGCAGGCCCATTTCGAAACCCAACAAAGGGGTACCGGAGTAGAGCTGCTGGAGGTGTGTTGGTTGCGGGATTCTCACACCAAATCTTGCTCAAATTCTTCGTTTTTGTGATCATCAGTTCGCGCACGTGTGAATCTCTGCCTTCAACCGATTGAATCTGCAGCCAAGGTTCGTTTTTTTTTCATGGTTATCAAATCTGTTCTGATTTTGATATGTTTGTCCCTCCCTCATTTGAAATTATTGCGTTTTTGTAGTTTGCATGGTTATGTTATATGATTTTGACCGATTAATTTTTGAAAGACCTAGCCCTAACCCTAACCCTAACCTGTATGTTTCTGATTTTGATTTTTTTTTTCAGTTTAATAGTGTGACGCAATGAGTTCTAGACGCGTTTCAAAGCTGCCGGTGGGGAATACCGAGAGAAGAACCAAGAGTCGACACGATGGGTCGTCTTCCTCTCAGCCCCAAGCTACTGTGAGTCAGTCTTCGGACTTGACGTTCGGATATTTGTTTGAGGATGACATAGTTGCTCACGAGAGGTTTGTGAAGTCTTTCATGAGCCGGAGGATTTGCGAGCCGAAATCACTGGATTCGGCCTTCTTCAACTTGGAGCGTTTCGACATTGTGCCGCTTCTTGAGGAGACACATTTACTTGTCCTTGCGGAGATGCAGTGCCCATACTCGGAGGTTATGGTGAGAGCCTTCTACCAGAGCCTTGGCTATGCGCATGGCGAGCTGACTTCCCGTGTCTGCGGGATTGATATCATCATGAATGCTCCTATCTTGACAGAGCTACTGGGGTTCGATTTTGATAGTGTCACAGGAGCAGCACTATACGATGGATGTAGACAAAATACATGATAAGCATATGGAGGCTGCCACCCAGCGTGATCTTTCACCGCCCTTATGATGCTTCGATGACGATCCGATATTAGACAAATACCTTGCCTATGTGTGACATGAAAACGTAAAAGGCTAAGAAACCAGGACCAATCATCCAACCTCTCACCTGGAGGAACAACAACAAAGGCAATAGGGAGCAGAAATCCATCTCCATCCTGAGATGTTGCAATCAAGAGAGTACCTCTGTACTTCCCATACGAATGAGTGCCGTCAATTTGAATTATAGGCTTGCAGTATTTGAATGCTTCAATGCATTGGTGAAATGTCCAAAAAACCCTGTGAAATATGGCCCTGACATTCACCTGCGTCATATACGTCAGCCAATTAGGCAAGAATCCATACGATTTCTCCCAGTCACCATACAACTTAACAATGGCTTTCATTTTTGCCTTCCAGGCCTTCCTGTACGATATGTTGTATCCATATATTCCCTGTATTCTCTCTTGAATCAGAGCGGGTTTTGTAGATGGATCTTCCTTTAACATATCTGTAAAAAAAAAAAAAAAAAAAACACAACTTTACCATATTCTCAATAAGAAGTTCCACTAAGTAGACAGTAGAATACATACTCATTATAGTCGCACAAATGACATCTGAATCCAATTGTATATGATCCTGTGACAGGCCCTGATTCAGGCATGTGTGCAGTAGTGGTTGTATGCACCGGTAAAGATGAAGATTGACCAGCATCAACTTCAACATATATCTCAATATATTTTAATACTTTCTATTCAACAAACGCATTTGTTACGAACTCCACATCGTCATCATCATTTATATCGTTACCAATGTAGTATATTGTATCCATATCCACTACAGTCTCTAACCTGGCTATCGTGTGGTGGATGGATTGTATGCCTTCTAACCCCATTTTTTGTAGAATTCTCTCATTCAGCTCATTGCATGTAGTGCCCATCTTGATTTTCATCGTTTTTGTTTTTCCTTCAAATCGGACACCGTTCGGACCTTCAAAATGCCTCCCATTGTAGTAAATAACTACAGGAACCATGTTTGGACTTGAACTCATCTTTCACACAAAAATTAGATCTAGGTTTTGGGTTTGGAGGTTGGTTCGGATTTTTGAGCACAAAATGGGAGTGTGGAGATGTAATCCCAATGTCCCACCAAGATTAAGCTTTCTGAAATGATGAGATGAAATATGTGTGTGATGTTTCGGAATAGAGAGGTCAAGGGAGAGAGATTTGGGGGGCAAAAACCCTATACCTCGCAACAATGGCTGAAACCCATTGATATTGGGGTTTCTGGACGTGATTTACCCGGGTACACTACTCCTTACCCGGGTAAATAATTCAAGCAATTTCCCAGAACTCAAGAACTATACCCGCGTACACCCCTCCCTACCCGGGTATGCATAAAAATTCAAAAAATACCCAGGTAGGGAGGGGTGTACCCGGGTAGGTTTCGTGGTCAACGGTCAAACATGAACAGATTGGTGTTATGTTTGTTGGGGAGGTTAAATTTTCGAAATAGTTTTAAATGAATGTCAATTTGGTAATTAATTATTAATAAAGGGTTATAAGGGTCAAAAAGGCTACATATTTATGTTATTTTTATATCATATAAAGTTATTTATTAAATAATACTTTAGTTCCATGATAACATTTTAGAAATGCTTATGTTAATATAACTTTTACATAATTTATGAAACATATTTTTTATTAGAATTTCTCTAAACCTTAGATGTGATTTTTATAAAAGCAAGTGGTTATATACTATAAAACATGGGAAAAATATTCTTATGCAACATAAGAGTAATTTTATCTCAAATAGATTCATCGAGAATCATGACATTCTTTTTTTTTCTCCTTTTTTTTTTTTGAATGACGGACCCCATCATATGTGTATTTATAACATGAGAGATCTTCTCTCATGCAACATGAGATTAAGTAAATCCATAAAACATTAAGAGAATTTTATATATCAAATATATATAGAGAGAGTTCTTCGCAGAAAGACAGATTATTTTGGAAAAATACTAAACATTCGTATGTTTATGTAACATAAAGTTACAAACCGTAATTTTTAAGATTTGAATCGTCAATGTTTTTACGAAATTGTTTGAATTATACATGAACTTACTAGAAATATTTATTATAGTATTTATATGATAGAAAATTATTCCGAATTTTGTTTCAAAAAAAAAAATAATGTTATGAAGATGTGTTTTTTTAGTAAACTATCTCATTATTTTTTCTAGAGTAAATAGGTAATTTAGTTATTAAAATTATTCTTCATTTAATCATTTCACAATATTTTTTTTAAAAAAAATATTCCAATCGGTTCATTGTTTCGCAACTAATTCGATTCGGGGCGGGTCCGGAATTAAGGTTTTAATCCCCTCCCAAAAGTTTTCACAATAATTTTCAAAACAGGTTACATTAAAAATAAATTGAAATAGAAATAGAAATAAAATATTAATTTTGGTATGAATTTTATAACTTTAAATGTTAATTCGTTCCCATAAATAAATCAAGAAAAAATATTTGCATTTTAAGATAGATAGACACATAATATTTTTTTATTTCAAATTTAAATTTAAAAAAAAAAACAAATACTCTCTCCCATAATTTTCATTCTTTCTATCTATTTCTCTTCTAAAATAATATAATTTCTCTCGTTTTCAATTATTAGAAGTTAGACATGAAGTGTTTCGGTATGACCATATTATTCCAAGTGGTCCGGTAGGCTTTACCGAAGAATAGGCTGAGGCTGAATGCGGGCGATTCTTGCTTTGCTTGTTCCACTCTGAAACCCTAAACTCGTTTAAACTGTAACCCTAAAATCCTTGAATCTGAAACCCTAAAAACCCAATTGATCCTGTGTTCCTTGAATCTGAAATGGATCTGACATGGTTGAGTGCCATTTTGGTTGGGGCTGGTTATCTTGCTTTGGGTTACTTCATTGGTTCTCAGTATCCCCCTCGTTTCCTCTTCTCAGTCTCACCTAGATTTTTAACTAAAGATAAAGATTCTTCACTTCTCAACGACAAGGACAATAATAAGAAGAGGAACACTAAATCCAAACTCAAAGACCCGCTTGAGATTGAACAACTTGCTGACATTCTCGATGATTTTAAGATGGTAATAAATAAATTTCCTTCTTTTTCTTTCAACACACAAACTCAATCTTACTGGGTTGCTTGAAAAATTGTTCCTTTTTCTGCAGATACTAGTAGTGAGGAATGATCTTAAAATGGGTAAAGGCAAGATTGCTGCTCAATGCAGGTACTGAACATTGCTCCTATTTCATCCAAAAATAATGTTGTTTATCTTTTTATTTCATACATTTTCTTTTGATAAAGAATATGATTAATGGTTCAAACTTAGTATTTTCTCTCTCTCTCTCTCTCTTTCTCTCAGTCATGCAACTTTGGGTCTCTATAAAAAGCTCATTAATCGAGCACCAAAGGCTTTGAATAGGTACTTCGACAACCTTGGTTGCACTTACAGGTCATCTTGAATTGTATATCTTAAGTCTGAAGTTTGTCTATAATACAGGTGGGAGATGTCTGCACAGCCTAAGGTTGTTGTGAAAATTGAAAGTGAAGAAGATATGCTGGCTTTGCAAGTAAGTACAGGGAAAGTTTGTGTTACATTAGCTAACTTCTTTTTTGATCTGTTTAAGATCTATATTGGAGATACTTGCCTGTTATACGTTGTCAGTTATGTAAGAAAGATATAAATGTGCTTCTCTTTTACTTAATCTCATAAAGTGTGTTGAATTTTGGAAGTTTATGTTTTATACACTTCTGCAACCCACAATGATCTGGTCAAATTTGTATTTAATGGGAAAATATGCAAGAGGAGGTCAGCAACTAGGAGTAAAATAGAAAATACGTGTCCTTTTTTACGTTTGAACTAGCAAAAAAAAAGAAGTAGATTTGGGTTAGTTATTTTAGTTATAGGAACTGCCTAAAGCCTGTGTAGTCAGTGGATGTAAAGGAGGACTATGAGAGAGAAAGTTAGCATTCATAGAGCATTGTAAGGCAGGAAAGTTTGGGCTTTACTGTGAAAATATTGTCTTCAAACATGAAGCTTAGAAATTTATTTACATACTTAATGGCTGCTGCAAATGTATGGGCTTTAAAGCTTTTTAAAAAGAAGTGTTGTGGTTAATTTTCAGAGAATCTTATGGAAAAGGCAAAGGATGTTGTCTGGAATTGTGAACACAAACAAAGTGAGAGCTCTTACGTAGTAGTGTGTAATTTGGGCTTTACATGATGGATGTGTAGGGAGAGGAAGTGGGGAAAATTCAGTCAACAGAATTTTGATCAGCAAAAACACTAAATTAAAAAAAAAAAAAAAATCTTGTAAATTTGTTATGCTGAAAAGCTTATCTAAATGGCATAATTTGACCAATGTTTGGAGTTTGGACTGGAGTGGATTGTATGGAAATTACAACAGAAGTTGTTTGGACTTTGGAGTTGTGAAAATGATACAAGTGAGAGCTTTGAAAGAGTGTGAAATTTGGTCTATAAACAATGAATGGCCAGGGAGAGGGGAGCTATGCATAGCATAGAATTTAGTCACCCAAAAATCTGAACCATTCATGATGAAGCTTTGAAATCAAATTAAATTAGGCATTTTGTATTATTTTAACACTATTCTAAAAACACTAGGATTTTATCTCCTTTTCTTAATTTTGTAAGGCAACTTTTTTGGAAGATTTAGTATACTTTGTTAGAAAGTTCAGTAATCTTACGATGATGTAAATTATTAGCACTTCTATTTTAACAACAAAGAATAGCATAAAAAAGGTTTATTATGGTATTAAGGAAACATATTGTCAGAATCTCTAATAGTTTAGACTGTTTTGTTTTCTCTTCTGATTTTATATAAACTATATTTGATATATTGATTGGTATTATCTTTGTCTAGATATCAATTAGTCTGTTTTGCATTGTCCTCTTCTTCCAACACTTGCTTCTACTTCTCAAAAATTAGACTCATCTTCCCCTGGAATGCCATTACTACTTGTTTTTTCTTCCCGTTAATCTTGAATTTTTTTCAATGCATGGTTTTTCTATCTGAAGTTGGCTTTGTTTTCGTAAATTGTTGTTTGTGTGTTAGGAAAGGGCTAAATCTCTGAAGTTACCCACCCATATCACAATCGATGCTGGGAGAACGCAGATTGCACCAAGTGAGTATTTGGAACTTCCCTTAATGTGCTGCTAATTGATTCTAGTTACCACCACACAATTGGAATTTTTACCAGTGTTTGTGTTAATTTACTGCCTTGTTATAGTCAATAATATGTGTGTGGTGTGTTGTCTTGGGTAAGATAGCTTATAAGGATTTTACTCATTCCTACCCTCATTAGTCGGGTTTCAAGTGGAGTGTTTTTTTTTTTTATATGTATTATCTTGCACTTGATGTCAATTGTCAAGTATTTTTGTCTGGATATTGATTAAATTGTGTCTGCACAAATCATGTACAAAACTAGAGATAGTTTTCCAGCATCCCCCTTAAAATGAAACGGTCATCCCATTGTCATTTTTTTTATTGAAGTTTAATCCATGCTCGAAAGTGCTGGTTCATTATGTTATGCATTTTGAAGAAAAGTGGTGCTCTAGTAGTTTCTTTGGACTGTCTGTAACTCAGTATCCCATGCGAGAAAAAAATAGTTTGATTTTCCTGTTAAGTAGTAGTTACATGAACAACTGGCTCTTCTTTCGTTATTTGTTATCATAGTTAATTTACTATTGTTTTCTTCTTCTTTTTCTAGATTCCAGAACAGTTATGGCAATTCTTGGTAATACTTTCCTCTAATGAACCTATTATTTTTTTCATGCCAACTTAGCATTTACCTTCTTCTTTTTTTTACAGCTCAAAGTACTTTGATTTAATCTGATATTCATGTGCAGGACCTGTTGAGGTGGTAGATGAGGTAACAGGTGGACTGAAACTACTATAGTTGTCTGTCTAATCAAGATGATTTATTGTTTACCATGAACTTGAGGGTTCGTGAAGGATAACAGATTGAACGTTTTGGACATTACTAAATTAGAGCCCCTTTGAAGATTTGTCATGTTCTTCGCTCACATAAAGATTTACAATTAATCCTTAGTTGACAGTAATGATGATGGTGAAAACTTTTCTTTGGAGATGCTCACCGACAAAAACTGTGGAATCATGAGCCTAATAGCAAATGCAGAATGATGTAATTCAGTTTATATGAAATGTGATGTTGAGTCTTCATAGTGGTACCGTGCTTGGTTTTGGAAGGTATATGAATTTTTTGGTCCAAATTCGATTTGCAATTTGGAATAAGAAAATATTCGGAAAAACATTAAAACATAACGCATGGATTTATTCTCATGATGAATGAACCATATTGAATAGCCTGGACTCTGCCAGTTAATATATTGTTGTGGAGAATTATTATTGACATGGTGGTTACCATTGCAATTCTTTTGTATTAAAATGACCATTGGACTCCAACTTAAAATAATCAACTTTAGAGTATACAGCTAACGAAACCGACTCTGTAGTCTAATATTTCTCATTTTTTATGCGCCTTATAAACATGCTAATAAACCTTATCTCATGCTAATAAAATGGTCTATCTTTCACCGAACTTGAGAAGTTAATTAATCAATAAATGCACAAGCAAGCCCAAGCTCTGCAAAAAAAAAAAAAGTGATGACTATGCAAAATATAATACTTTATCAACATTTAACAATGGGTGAAAATGAGTTATTAACTAATTCTGTTCATGCAGACTGCAGCAATACAAATTTTGCAGTCTACAACTCCCTGTGTCCAATCAGCTAAACAAATTTTGTATCAATTGCATCATAAGCAGTCTATACTTTCACAGTATTCTAATATCTATGCACCAATCTTGACAGGGAACATTACTGCTTTGCCGAATATTATAGCATCTTCAAGTTGTAAGTAGATTGAAAATAGTATTAACCTGAACATAAGAATTTCCTCATACAAAAAAAGCCTTGCAACCAGTTTCAATCGAAATTTACAGTTTCATATAATTCATATGGGAAGTGTCATTGCTTAAATTTTGGTTTCCCTCTCTGTAATATTCAATCTTTTCTTTTCCATTTTGTTTTGACAGGTTCCTTCTCCAGTTCTCCTCCTCTTATTCACTTCTGTAACTTTCTTCTTTTCCACTACAAAAAAAATTTGTAAATAGTTATATTCGAGAAGAAGGAACTAATTGTAAGTTATACATATTCCGTAAATTGTTTAAAAACTGATAGAACATTTGCTCTACTTTGCAAATACTAACCTTCAACCGGGTTCTTCTGATTTGGATATGACACCATATCATAGGGATTACTAACGCATACAGTTCCACATTTGCAGGCTGCAGAAACCACCTTCAACTTCAAGCATCAACCTCTTTTTCAAATAATTCAGCCTCAAGAGATTTTATATATTCTGCCTTGGCTCCACCCATCTCCTCAACATGTCACCATGCAACTCAAATGCCTAGTTGAGCTCTCCATTAACACAACGACTATATATCAGAAATTCACACACAACCAAATCAGGCTCCATACCTTTGTTTAGAGCATGCGATACCACAATTTAACTGCTGCTCCACAATTTAACTGCTGCTCCTATATTGCCCCTTCTGCAATGCTCGCAAATGTTGCCTTGGCTTCACCCCTCTCCTCAACATGTCATCACGCAATTCAAATGCCTTGTTGAGCTCTCCATTAACACAACAACCATATATTAGCAAGTTATATGCAACCAAATCTGGCTCAAGACCTTTGTTTAGCATGGTATCCCACAATTTAACAGCTGCTCCTACATTTCCACTTCTGCAATACTCATAAATTAAAGTCGAATAGGTAATACAATCAGGGAAAATACCATTTTCAGTCATTTCAGAAAGAATTTTGGTGGCTTCATGAAATTTACCCAATTTGGAGAAGCCACGGATAAGGATGTTATATGTTACAGTGTTTGCTAGAAGCCCTTTAACCATTGCATGGTGAAGCCCTATAGCTTCCTTCATATTTCCCTCCTTTGTAAGACGGTCAAGAAAACAGCCATATGTGATTGAATTAGGATGGACATTTGCAGCCAGCATCTTTTTAAAAAGAAGACCTGCTCTGTCCATTTCACCTGCTTTGCATAAACCATTCATCAAAGCAGTATAAGTCACAATATTAGGAAAGCACTCCTCAGTAACCATCAAATCCCAACATTCAAAAGCTTTCTTAAAAGATCCTTCTTTGCTATATGCATCAATCATACTTGTATATATTACATCATCAGGCCTCAATCCTTGATCATGCATCTCTTTTAAGAGACCAAATAACATTTTCCTGTCTAGCTGCTTCAGAGCACCATCAATAAGAACAGCATGACAAACCAGATCCATGTTAATTCCTCTTTGAACCATTTCACAAGAAGCACTAAGTGCATCCATCAACCTTCCTTCCTGGCAATAACCATGTAGAAGTGCACTATAGCACATCTCATTTAACTTGAGATTCTGCTTGTGGAGACCATCAATAAAATCTTTAGCTTCTGAAACCCTACCAGTAGAACAAAGGCCACTGATAAGAGGTCTGTAGGTATATGTGTCTGGAACAAGGCCCTTTTGGAGCATGTCGTCGAGCAATGCAAAGGCTTTACCAATGTTACCATCCCTACAATACCCTTCAATCATAACATTATACGTCACTTCAGTTGGCTTGATTTTCCTTTCCATCAATTCATCAAAAAGTTTGGATGCTTCAGCCAACTGATTTGTCCTGCAAAGCCCAGAAATAAGTGCAGTGAAAGTATAAATGTTTGGAGTAATTCGTTTCCCAATCATCTCATTATATAGCTTAAATGCTTTTTGTAGTTGTAGGTCTTTGCAGTACCCACTAATCAATGTAGTAAAGGTTGTAGCCGTAGGCTCCAACCCTTTATTGATCATCTCGGTAAACAGAAACTCGGCAGCACTCAAATCCCCAAACTTGCACTGGCCATTTATCAAAGAGTTGTAGGCATATACAGTTTCTTTTATACCATCTTCTATCATTCTATCAAAATAAGTTATTGCAACATCCAACCTCCCCCTTCTGCAAAAGGAATCAATCAAAATAGAATAAGTAATATCATTGGGACGCAAGTTCATCAAACACATATTATTATAAAGCGACTCTGCCTTATCCAAATCTCCACCTTTGCACAAAGAGTTGATTAATGCATTACAAACAAACAAATTCGGCAGAAAACCAAATCCTCCAACCTTAACTACCAAATCATAAGCATTGTCGATCTTTCCCTGCTTTCTTAACCCTTCCACTAACCCTGAGATAGCAGCCTCGGTTGGAGCAAGCCCCAATTCAACCATTTCATTCATAAGTTGTATACCAGCCTCAAACTGTTGCACCCTACAAAAACCAAGTACTAGTGTACAGTATGTAACAACATCTGCTTTCAGACCCTTTTCCCCCAATGATCTTTTAACCTCAACAGCTTCCCAAACTCGATCACCCTTGCATAGCCCATGAATTAAGACATTATAAGTGACAATACTTAAATCAAACCTATTAGATTCCATCCACAGAATCTTTTCCTTAGCTCTAAAAAAATCTTTCAATTCACACAGGCTTCTGACTACAGCCGAACAAGTATAAGGATCAGGTTGAACACCAGCATTCACGGACTCATCAAACAATTCCCAAACCGTTATAAATTTTCTAATTTTCAAGAGCCCGTTCAAGAGCGCACTTAATGTTCTAACTTCAGGTAATAAGGCGTTGGCAAGCATGAGCTTTACAATGAACACAGCATCAAAAACTCTTGCATTTTGGAGGTAATTCTGAACCAACAAATCGAAACCCAAAGTGGAGGAAAACTTACATTGCCTGTGAGAATCTAGAAAGTAGGAAAAAATCAATTTTGGGTCAGACCCACGAAGGAAAAGGGTTTGCAAGAGCGAATTTGCAGGCCAGAAAAGCCTTGCCTGAACAAGGGCGTGAACCAAGATGGCAAAGGAGGTTGTTGAATGGTTCAAGTTTTTGTGCAAACCCAGAAAGTTGAAGAACCTCAAAGCTAACTTGGGATCGTCCAAGGTGTTGATCAAAACTTGCTCAACATGATGGGGCCTCAACTTAGATGAAACGCAAGCGTCGTTGAAGGCCACCTTCCAACTCTTGGTTCCTCGAACGATGTCGGAAAGGATTGACACAAAACGAGGGTCGTTTTCGTCGTCGAATTTGGATGCTGAGAAATGTCTGTGACGAAAAGGGGTGGAGGCTGCTACTGAGACTGAGAGTGGTGTGCGACCAAGTGGGAGGAGCTTCATCGGAATTCATTCACCACTTGACACACACGACACGACACACCCCAGATTGGGTTTTAAGTTGTTTGAGTTTTCTTTTCTCTTCACGTGTGACTAAGTGTTATTATTAATGTCACGTCTGATTATTTCACTGTTTGATCGATTATATTGATGTAACAGTTTTGATTTAATTTTTAATTTTTTTATATATTTATATTTTATATTTATGATTTATTTTTCTGTAATCAATGTAAATAAGTTATTTATATGAGTTTGTTTTTTCTAAAGTTAATGTTCATCGAAACTACGTCGTTTTGGGATGGAAATCATGGTGTTTTTGTAATTTTAATTTATTTCAGGTTATAATAGTCTTTATCGTTCTAATTTTTTAATTTTTCAACCAAAAACGACGTCGTTTCGATGAACATTAGATAAAGTTATCTAAAGTAACATTAGATACTTTTTTCCCTATTTATATTGAGCTCAAAACGACTTTATTTTGGAGTGAAAATCAAGGTAATTTTATAATTAAATTTATTTCATAGTTATAATAGAGTTTCTCATTATAATTATTTAATTTTTCAACTCAAAACAATATAATTTTGGAAGTGAATATAGATAACTTATTTGCATTCACTTAAAAAATATTAAAGACCTATATTTATTTATTTATTTTGTAAATAAAGCCCTATATTTATTTTCACCTTTATATGATTATGATTCTCCATATTTATTATTCTCTATATTTATGATTCCTCGTATTAAATATGGGAAATCATAATCATACAAACGTGAAAATAAATATAACAGTTGAATCAATATAACTGATCTAAACTGGTAGTGACATTGGTAATAACACTAATTGAAGTAATTTTAATTAGTAGTAACAATATCCTGTCTCATGTATAAGATATAATTTTATCTTATACAGTATATAAAAATAAAATATGATTCATCCATTAATTCAATGGGCAGAATTATAGAGGCGTCAAAGCTCTCCCTGTTAAATTGTTAAGCAATTGCATACTCAGACTTAAATTCAAAACCACCAATTAAGTCACAACAATCTCTTACCAATTGATAAAACGTTTAGGGGGTTACCATTCTAGATAGTATAATAGGGTGGTAAAAATGAGCCAACCTGTCAGGTTGACTCGTAACCCGCCACAAATGAACCGGGTTGGGTTGGCATAAATGAGCTGCCAATCCAGACCCAAACGAGCCATCCCGTGAGTCAAATGGGTCAGCTCGCGGGTTGGATTTTTTTTTTATTATTATTAAAAACAGTAATATCATTGTGTAGCTGATTTCTTTATTCACCAAAGTGACATCTGAATAATGTCCATCCTGCAACTGGTCCAATGGTTCTTCTCCCTTCTTGACTTCATTGTCATCCTTAGCACCCAAAAAGCTAGGTTGATTTGTTGAAGATAAAAGCCTAGCCCACATTCTATCAGTTATAACTACATGGTTCTGTCTCTCGGTGATTCTCTCAATAACAATGCAACAAAACATCAGAGAGTTAGCCAAAAAATCCCATATATTCTGCAGAACCAACAAATATCATGCCTAATTAACTTACATAAAAGGGTATATAAGTTTGTCTTCCATTGACAAGTCCACTTGTATAGCCAGTATATCCTGCCATTGCTCTATGAACAGCACTTTGAGCAAGAAGGGTGCAGTACACATTGTCAGAAGCATTGCTTGGAACAGCTCGGATCATATAGGTTGGATCTGTAAAACAGAAAAGAAAAGGCAATACTCTTTCAGCCATTGCTCCTTTCAGTTTGAGAGTTATGGCCAATGTCTTCTCTTTAGCAAAATGATCCTGGAAGATGAAAATGAAAATATCTTTATAACCATTTGTCAGTTGTGAAAAAATTGACAGAATAAAATACAACATAAGTTATGGCTGTCTACTTTTGTGCATTTATATAATTAAGTGAACTAAAATGCGCTTGAATGTTGTCAAACAAGTTATGGCTGTCTACTTTTGTGCATTTATATTATTTATATAACTCACGCCTAATGTGTTTGTCTACTGTTATGTTGAGATTTCTTAATTTATTGGTTGTGTTTTATTAGTTACTGTGTTTACACCATTATCCATTAGACAATCAATAGCTTTGACAGTGTTGATAATTTTGTGCAGTGTTGAAGAATAAATAAGACTGTTCCACAAAAATCAACTTTTTTGAGCCAACCCGCGAGCCAATCCACTGGCAATATTTCGAGCTAACCAACCCGCGAGCCAATCCACTGGCATCATTTCGAGCTAACCCGCGAGCTTTTTTCCGAGGCAACCCGCGAGCTGGTTATCGAGCCAACCCGCGAGCCAACCCTAACCCGGCTCAGGTCGGGCTGGGTTGGATTTTCTGGCTCGTTTTTTTTTCGAGTCAACCCTAACGCGACCCGTTTTTTTCAGGTTGAGTGCGGGTTGGGCCGGGTTGGCCCATTTTGCCAACCCTAACATTGGTCATTTTATGACAATCACGTTTAATTTCCTCTTTTTATGTTCATGTGTTGTTATAATGGTGGGCATTATTTTCAAAAATTAGTGTAAAAAGTAGTAATACATGTTAAAATGCAAGTAAAAATTGATAAAAATACCATGTAAAAATGGTAGAAACGCATGTTTCTACATTTTTACTTAAACCAAAAAACTTAATTGGGTCTTATACAAGGAGAAAAAAATAAAATGAACCAGGTAAACTTTTAACTCATTACCCTTTTACAAAAAAAAAAAGTTGTTTTCATTTCCCCAAATCAAAATCCACGGTATCTTCTTCTAGCTATACAAGGAAAAAAAATCTTCGTATGAGGTCGCTGTTGCAGAGAAAGAAAATGGTGAAGTCACTAGGGAAACGTTTAAGTACCAAGATGAGGTGGATTTTGAATCAAACTATTACATTTTATTGCAAATGAACTCGTTATAGAAGCAAAAGAAGAGGATATGCAACTGGTGCAAGATGATGTGTTTGATTTGAATAAATTGATATAATTTAGGAGTTATTAAACTTTATTCTTTTCATGTTGTGAAAGTTAGTTGCAGGAGTTGTTAAACTCTTTTTGTGTTTTTAGACTTATGTCTTATATAGTTATGTGATTTATATATTTTAAATATGAAATTATTCAATGAATTTTGGGTAGTTACTTATATGATTTTTTTTATATGCATATATATATATGGGATAGGATCAACTTACACCAGTGTAAAAATAATAAATCTTACACTAAAGCTTAACTGTTGATTTCCGTGCATCTAACGGTTGAGATTTATTGGGAATTAAAAATTAATTAATGAGTGAGACCTAATAAATATTAACCGTTAGATGAAGAAAATCAATGGTTAAGATTTGGTGTAATACTTCTTATTCTTACACCGGTGTAAGATGATCCTGCCTCTATATATATATATATATATATATATATATATATATATATAATTTTGTAACTCGACATTAAATAGTAGAAGTTTTACGTTTCGTATCATTTTTACAATTTATGTTTCTAGCATCCCCTTTCGTTTATGACTTTAATGTTTCTAAAGTGAATGTAGATAAGTTATCTACATTCGCTCCCAAAACGACGTCGTTTTGAGTTGAAAAATTAAAAAATTATAATGAAAAAGATTATTATAACCCTGATATAAATTATAATTACAAAAATACCTTGATTTCCGTCACAAAACGACGTCGTTTTGTGCTCACTGTAGATAAGCTATCTACATTGACTGTAGAAAAAACGAACCCTTCGTTTATACATATAAACTCGATTTTGATAACATTGATGATGGGTCAATTTATACCTATTTGATAAATTCACCTCTTCAATCACGTGAAGCATTCATGCAAAATTAATCTTTATAACCTAACCTTGATTAAATAGATAATAAGATTCAAATATTTTATTTTAAGAAATATAGTTTCTCATGTTACATGATATAGTTTTAGGGAAATACAAGTGTTATGTAATAGGAAAAATCTCCATTTTCCTACTGACTCATTATAGTGTAGGATTCACTTCAACTTTTTTTTGTTTTTTTTCTATATAATGGGCCTACAGTATTTTTGTGTCTGTAACATGACACAAATGGTGTCATGTTACATACAAACGATTATCCCATAGTTTTATCTTATGCACACAAAAGAAATTAATCTCCTCCTTAATGATTCTCATCCATTTTTGTGAGTGTATATGAGACAATATTTATTTCATATAATATGAAAAACTAATTTATCAACTAAACTAACCAATTCCCATTTCATCGTAAAGGTGAATAATGGATCCGATTGAACACTTTCTTCGGTGGGCCTGATACGAGTAACTGGGCCCAACTAAATGTAGGATTGATGGGCCCAAAATTGGGCTTCTCATGTCTTCGTGTTCCTTGTTAGGGGGTGTGAATGGGCTAGGCCAGCCTACAAAAATCTACTGCCTAGTCTATATTATATCAGACTTGATTTATTACAAATAATCAAATAGAACAAGATTAAGTTTTTTAAAAAACCTTTTTTTTGTCCATGTTGGGCTTAGCTTGTATCATATTATTTATATTAAATAAAATAAATGAATTATTATTTTAAATAATAATATTATTTTAATTATTGAAGGTTTAATAAGAGGTGTATTGAATTAGATTTTAAAGTATTTTAATGGATTATTTTTGAGAATAAAAAAATTCATTGGTATTCAATTACGAGTTTAATGGATTGAAAAAAAGTCATGTGATATTCGATTAGGATTTTAAAATATTATTTTAGAGTCCAAATTTGTTGTTACTCAATCAAGATTTTAAACAATGAAAAAATAATCTTGTGATATTCAAAAATTTAACGATTCTAATAAATTTTTTATTGGTGCGAATTTCGTGAGATTTTTTAGTAAGAAATATAAATAAAATGCTTATTTCACAATCTCACCCTATCCCTTAAAATTTATTGAGATTTCTCTGTTATAGATAAAGACTTTTACTTTTTAAATAGATCATCTAATATAGACAGGCTAACAGATCATCTAATATAGATAAAGACTTTTACTTTTTAAATAGATCTCAGAATAAATTTGTAACATGGACCAAAGGCCAAAGAGGCCTAATAATTTTCACAAAGATGTATCCAAGTTAAAAAAATGGGAAAAATATTTGTCATTTTAAATGACACAAAGTTATGTCATTTTTAATGAAACTACGTCGTTTTGGTGTGTTTTTACATTCTTACTCCTCTATTTTCTTTTTATTTCTAATTTTATAAATTAAAAAAAATGACAAAACACACTCAAACGAACGTAATTTAATTTATTAAAAATGACAGAATTGGGTCATTCAAAATTACAAGGGAAAAGTGTGTGTCCTTTTAAAGGACACACACTTATATCCTTTTAAGAGAGATAATGAAACAAACTATGGGAGAGAAAGAGTGGAGGGAAAAATTTGTAATTTAAAATTTGAAAAAAAACACTACATTCATCTAAAAGGACCATCCTTTTAAATGATAGACATTTTTCCCAAATTACAAACACCAAGATCTAAAAAAATTAACCGAACCTATTTACACCGTCGTTCCTGCCAGCATAGATCAGTGCATTCCGAGTTGGATAGTTGAGTTTGTGAATCGGCGTGCGATGGCGTTGACGAACTTGGTGCTGACGGTAGCCGGTGTGAGCGACGTCGTTCTTCTTCTGAGGAGTGATGTGAAGCAATCTGCATCCATATTCAAGCGCAACGTCAAGCACATTCGCCGGTGGCTAGAAGAAGAAAGCGCCACTTCTTCCAAGTAAGTCTCCCTTTTCTATCTATCAGTCTTGTGTGAAAGGAGATTTTTGTTTGTGAAAAAGTTTGGATTTTGGGTACTGGGTTTTTTCGCTTTTCCTTGTTTATTATGGGTTGAGCTTGGGTCTTTGTTTTCTTTTCCCCTTTTTGAATTTTGTACATGTGAAAATGGAAGCTGGGATATGGGTTTTGATAAAATTGGAGGAGTAAAATTCTAATTATGTAATTGGACATAAACCATTGATCAGAACATAAAGGGGATCCGAATCCGTTACTATATACATATTTTGCTATTTATTTCCTTGATTGGAGGTTCATTTCGATTGTGCTAATGTGCTAGCTTAATGTTATGTGCTTGCTTTAGACTTGTGAATTGTATTTGATATGTTTTTATTCGTAGCTATTCCTGCTTGCTTGTGTGAGGCACTTTTTTTGGTTGCACTAGCTTGTAACTAACGTAATTATGCACTAGAAAATTTATATTGCTGGAAAGATTTGTGAAGCTGATGTTGGGCTAAAGAGAGGTGACCTTCTGTTACTTTTCTTCTTATTTTCCCTCTCTTTGACTCGAGAGGTTGATGAGAATTATGTGAGGTATTGTTTAGCTTCATATTTATAGTGTATTGTGGTTGGGATGCAGGATGCCTTAGTCTTGTGATTGATATGCTGCTAAAGTTGTTTTGGGTGATATGCTTTAGTTTTGGTGTTGGCAAATGGCAATCCTATTTTCCCTTTGTTGGTATGAGCCAGTGGTTGGAGGAATGAATTTAACCATTTGCTCCAAATTTAGAATTATTTCAAGTTCTTACTAATCAGCAACATAATATGCAGACATGATGATGAAAGTAATCAAAGCTCTCCTGTGGCTATTTCAATGATACGTAGCCACCGTTCTAGATAGTTATTTTAACTTTTCGGTATATTTCTGGAATGGTCTCCCCTTTTAATTTTAGTAATTTACAAAGGAGATGTTATTAACTGATAGAGATTTACCAATGAATCACAAAATTTTGTAAAAGAACCCTCTAGATCATGCCCGTTTCCTTTTGATGGGAAGGGGAAACAAAACAACTGCAGATGGTTGGATCCATCCTATTTTTCAAATAAAACTGCTCATCCAAAATATTAGATAAACGTGCCAATCACTTCACTTATATTTATTGAGTTGGTTGTTAAATTAGCAGTATTAGGAGTAGACTCAGAAAAGGTTTGTGTACTGTTTTCCATATGATATTCTGGTCCATTGAGTGAACACTAGAAAAAAATGTAAGCTATGAATCTTTTCAGATAATAATTTGATGACTTTGGGTTGGATTGATTGTCTATAATATATTGTGAGAGTTTGTGCAATGCTGCATTTTTAATGGCTTACATTTTTGTATGAAGTTATATGTATATATATACATATATATAAAGCAAATCAGGAGAGCTGAAGAAGGCATTGTTAAAAAATGAATTTACAACACATCTAGGATTTAGAAAATTCTTAGTTTTTGTGATTTCTTTAGTGACAACTATTTATGATCAACTTGTGAAACAAAGAAAAAAGCGTTTTAGTTCTGATGACAAATTATGTACATTATTTGGGGTAATATTAACTTTGTAATTGTTAATATTTAATGGGTATGAATGGTAGAAGGGGTGCATGAGGATTAGGTTGGGTTGCCTTTTAGCTGGTTTAATGCTAACCTATTGAAATCGTGGTGAAGTTATAAAGATAGAAGAGCTGAAGTGGTTACCCCACTTTTTTAATTACTTAGGCTATTTCTGAAAGTTTTAGAAAGAAGGGGATGAGATGAGATAAAATCAAAAGGGAATGGCTTGAACAGAAAAGAGTTGCCTTCCCATGTTTGGATGATTAATGAGCAAAGAAGGATGAAGGAAAAAGGATTGTGTTCAAAATTTCAGTATCACCTGTATAAACTTTTTAATTATCACAATTTAGGGGATAAAATAGTAAATAAAAATTCTTTTAATAAGCAATAAAGCTATTTTGACAGAACCGGACCGGAGATTAGGGAATAACCAAGAAAAAAAGATGAGACTTTTATTGATATGATTTCCCTTACCCTTGCATTAATGGAGATCCCAAGGTGGTTAGGAAGAGAAACAATGGTTACAAGCGATTGTTCCCAGGAATTCGAGAGCCTGGTCTGTCCCACACCCTCAACTGTCTTCACTCAATAAATATCTATGCTCTCTGCTTTATTTTCCCTTATATCCTAACCACTGACAATTTAGAGTAATAGCCTCCAAAACCAGGTAATCCTAACTACTGTATCTAGAAATATCAAGTAACTCTATATACTATATCCAAGTATCTAACCATCAATTAATATTAGGTAACTCCATTTACTATGTTTAACAGTATCAATTAATATCAAATAACTATCTAATATATCTACTAACCTCAATTAACTCTAATTATTATTTCTAGGAAGGCCTGGTCCAAGTGGATTGTTGGGCCCATCCTTATTTCTTCTCGCATTCACCTTGCTAGTTGGGGGCTGCTACTAACATGCTCCTCCTCATTAGCCCTCAATTTCAAGGGTAATAAAGGTGTGATTGACAGGGAATGGCTCCCCTGAATCCTTTCCATCTTCATTAATTTTAAATTCCTAAATAATGGTAATTGGTCATGAATGCTTGGCTTTAGGTTCAGGGTTTAAGGTTATGAGTAAAATTTCAATATGACCTGTATAATTTTATTTTAATTAACACAAAATTTGTTTAGGGGATAAAATGATAATGAAAATTCTTTTAATAAACAATAAAGCTACTCCTCCTCATTAGCCCTCAATTTCAAGGGGTAATAAAAGGTGTGATTGAGGGGGTAATTGTTCCCCTGAATTCCTTTCCCTCTTCATAATTTTTTAACTTCCTAAATATGGGTAAATGATCATGAATGCTTGGCTTTAAATGGGACTGGTGATGATTATCATTTGTTGATGATATTTGAACCGTGAACTGGATATATCATGATAAATTGGCCCATGAATGGATATTTTGATTATGATTTTAATGCACATGTATCTGTCCTTTTCTGTTGTCTTCCCCTTGCCCCCCTCTCTCTTTCTCCCTCCCACCCAGTGTTGATTTAGGTGATGGTTATTTATTAAGGACATAATTCATAGATTGTAATATGATTTTTGCTGTTTTTCAGGGTCATGGAGAAGTCCACTGCAAAAGAACTGGAATCAAAGGTTCCTCCAAAAGACATTCCTAAGGAGGACAAGCACTAATGTTTATGCAGGTGGTGGGGATGTTTAATGCAGTGATTTTGTTGTTTCATTGTGTTTCTCTCTTACTGTCTTTTAATATATACATATTTTATTTTATTTTTTAAAAAACTAAAATGTATTCTTCATCAATGTCTGTAAATATAACCCTTGAAAAACCCTTATATTCTATATATCTACCAATAATAAGAAAGTTGTGGTTGTTCCACATGCCCAGTTTTTAGCATATTTGCACCATTTGACTGCTGAGAATCATCTTGCTATAACCTTTTTTAGACTTTCGGTGATATCAGGAAATTCCTTATTTCTAAGGCCTGTATGGCTGTATCTAAATTTATGCCTTAACTTATTTTGCCCATTCTTTTCCTTCAGCTATGGGGTGTGTCAGTGTAACAATCATTTAAGCAGGGCGTGTTGGTGGTTTTAGTCATCCCAACCCACGTTATAACTTATAATACTCTGCTGGTTTGGTTATTTTTTTTTTTTGGTGAACAGTTTGGTTATCTATTCGAACATCTTAGTGAGATACCGGTGTCTAACTCCACTTAAACTTTTTTGTATCCAAAAAAAATAATGATATGAAGAATAAAAGGAAGGTGATAATTAACATATTTCACTAAAAAAAATTAGATATTAATTGTAATGAATACATCTTTTTAGGTGTAAATAAATTATTTATATACTTCTGATGTTCCTATGTTTAATTTAAAATGTTGTTATATTTATGAAATATATGTTAACGTGTATGTTTAATTCGGTTGGAGTATAACATATAAAATAATAATAATAAATTATATTATGTGAGGTATGTTTAGAGCATGAAATAATAATTTTTCAAAATAATAATTAAAATGAAATATATATATTTTTTGTATTAAAAATAAAATGATGATATGATTACCAAAAAATAAAAATAAATAAAATGATGATACCAAATTTGAACACTAATATAAATGCATGCTCGGGCCAACAAATAAAGATAAACCGTATGTCCACTCCCACCCTTAGTATGCAAGGCTCCAAAGCGATGGACGGATATACTACTCGTGATTTTGATTGCTCTGATATCATGTAAAGAACTTGGGATACATTACCCCAAGAGCTAGATCAAAGGGTGAGAGTGCTCAAGGTCTTATAAATTCCACATTACTTGCTCATACAACTAATGTAGGACTATATATCTCAATAACATTCCTGTGCTTTTCACTAGTGAAAATGGTTACTCTTTTATCTCTTGCGTCATTTTGGTTAAATCATAAATGGCCTCAAAACAAAAAGGAGTCAATATAGTTTTTAAAAAATAAAAAATTCACAAAATGTCTCACTTTTTTAAATTTAATTTCTTGAGATATTTTAATTTAAGATAAGCAAGAGGTGATAAAAGACAACTAAAACAAGGAATAACGAATATATTATTGAATAATAGTTTTGTTAAGCTTAAAACTCATGTATGATCATCTTCATTAATTTATTTAAGCTCATTATTTAAACACTGACTTCTTAAGTGTCAGAATGCCTTGTAGATATCTCCATTTATCTCAAGCAAATATCTCCAATGCGAATTCAATCATCCATGGATCTATATCCCGTAGCAACCTAGTTGATCCCGTCACAAACACCTATCAAACAGTACATGGAACAAGCTTAGTCGTGTGTGGTTAGATCCAATTTTTCTTCGACCAATCGCTATAAACATTTGGACTAGCTACATGACTTAATAACTAGTGCTCAAAGGGTGAGGTAATAATATTTAGAGAATAACATTTTTGTGTCTGTGGTAAAAAAAACCTGACACAAAGAATAAATCAAGGAAAGAGAAACCCATGAGAAGAGAGAAATAGATTAAATGATAGACCCACTCTTGATTCACTCTCTGTGGCCGTTTTTTTTTTTTTTCTGCCACAGATGCTGAATGTTATTCTCTAATATTTAAACATGTTCCTTATTAAAGAACCATGTACCTTATTAAAACCTTCGCTATCTCACCCAAATCAGCAACAATTGGATGGATGGTGAAGGGAACTAGCTTTTGATTCGCATGACTGTGGTTCTCATTAGGAAAAGGAATTTAATGTCATCCCTTGAAACGGATCTGAACAAAAACGGATCTGAACTAGCTTTTCCATCACTTGCCCAAATGATCTTGGTCCACAATATGAACAGGATAAGGCCCACACTCGGCAATTATATGAATTATCAATTCCACATTCTCAGTGGACTCAGCCACCCACAACGTGCAAAAGAGTGCGTAGTAGCAATAGCATAAGGTGTTAAGGTGGATGGTAATCAAAATGAAATTGCTATTAATCAGAATTTAGCACTCACCAATTAACATTGCAAATACAGAAATTATCACTATGACCATGGCCTTCATCGCGTGGGAGAAAAATCCCACTTAGTTGAGCCTCCAAACCATGGGAACGAGAGTAAAAAGTACACATATAAGTCAGATTATTACGTCGACATGCTATTAATTAGCCTCAACAAGCTCAGTATAACCGAGTCAATTATTAGTTGCAAGTTGCAAATATCACATCCAGCTTGCACATCTTCGCCATCGATCTTCAACGACTACTCGGCTTACTTAATATTAGTTCTTTAAATTCGAGTAGCTTAAGAATTTAAGATAAAATGAACACGAAAGTAAGTCTAGCTTATTCGGGTTGGTCTTTTCTCGTGATTTATTGTTTTGTGCAGTAAAACAAAGGATCTCAATTAATGCTATTGTGTTGATTGTAGATGGAGAGATCCATATCTTAGCGAGAATGGTGTTATAAGATTCGCAGAAACGTAGCAGTGCAGAGTCCACATCGCCTAGGTGAAGGTGAAGTAGTGAGGAGTATGCACTATAAAACTAAAGCGTGTGGGATTGTAAAACATACTTACCTGGACGGGGTCAATGGGTGATCAAGAAGGCCCATGGCCTAGGGAAGTGACCTCCATTGCACTTAGGAGGGGTGCTTCTCTAAGGTCTACCCAAGTGGTGGAGCCTACGTCATAATTTGTGATAGTGGGGGCCTGCGTTCGCGCGGCCCCTTCCAATTTCAAGTTCAAATTTTTTGGGTTCTATATTTCGACTTCCAAGTTTTTGGGCTTGTGATGTTTTATTTGGGTTATAATGATGGCCTTGGTAACCTAGCTCTTTGCGTAGGATAGGTGTAGTCATTATTCCTTAGCTAAACAGGTTAATTGTAATTTTGGTGGGCCGACCTTTTTGTGTAATACCAAGTTTATTTTATTTGGTTATAACGATAGCCTTAGACGCGTTCCAATACGTAGTCAGTGTGGCTAACGTATATTAACTAAGCATAGCGCGAATTATATACGTACAAAACCCTTGGTAAATCCTTCTGAAGCAGATGAAAAAGAAACAAATTATTTTCTTTGAACGAGTAGCCAATGAAACGAAAGTTACTTCATTCTAAATCCTACGTATTAATGTTACTTTTTTTTTTTTGGTATACGTTATTATTTGTTTTTTATTTGAAACTTCCTAAACTTATTTGTTTTTCTTTTAGTATGATAACGTAGCTCAAAGTATATTTAAGCTTGTGGATTTATCCTAGAGCAAACATTCATATGGAAATAGGATGCTTGACAGAACCAATAAATTTTATTTTTATTTTGATGTGAATAAGTTTATGGGATTTTTTTTTTTTTTTTACATTATTGAAATAATTTATTTATGTCATAGAAATAAAATTATAAATGGACTTGGAGAAAAAAAAATAGAAATGAAACCTAACTCTATTATGTATGTGTAGAACAATAATTTGGTTGATCTGATAAGTATAACCCTAAGTTTATATGCAATAAAAATCATAACTCTTCCAATTTTTTTGCCTATTCTTTTGATACACTGCAATTTTTCATTTAACTCAGCATGTAGCAAATTATATCATAAACGGAGTGACAGCGGAACGCATGGATTGTGTTGCAAAAGGCTTCCTTTTTTTTTTAATAGAGAGCAATAGTTATATCATGTTATAGGAAATTGATTATATCATGCTATAGACATAACTGAGATGAATCCCACTAATTTTAAAATAAAATAAAAAATTGATAAAGTCCATATTAATTGTGTCTATAACATGTTACAATCAATTTCCTATAACATAGATATAATTATTTTCCCTTGATAAATGATTGGCTGTCTTATAACAGTTTATTTTTTTCTGGTTGTGCTAATAGCAAAAGTGTTCCTTTTCTGTTCAGTAGACATTTTACATCTCAAAATGAATGCCATATATTAACATGAAGACTTAGGTTGAATCATAGAATTTATAAATGAAGGAACTAAAAAAGAAACCAGAAACCTGTACTCAATAGAAGATAGTAACCCCAAAAATCAACCTAAGCCCAGAAACGCATAAGAGAGCCTAAAAATGCAAAACAAGTTCAGAAAGGTGAAAGAAAAAGTGAATACCTGAATTAATGAAAAACTTGGAAGTTTTAAACCCTTTTATGTATGAGCCTTGAAGCAGCACGAACACAAATGCACCAGAAAAAGAAGAAAAATTCCTAAATATTTCATTAAGAAAGCTTTGAAAGAAAGGAAATGAAGCAAGAGACAAGGCAGAGAGTTCGTGGGAAAGAGTGTGTTTTGGATAAAATGATAAGTTTCCCTCCTTTCTCAAACCTTGCGAAGGGATGCTAGGGGGCAAGAAAGTAGACTAGAAACACAAGGGGAAGAGAAATGGTAAAAGTAAAAATCCCTAAAATCTACTACACGTGTCATGCGATGAAAGAAGATGATTAATACACGTTTTAAAAATGATGATTAATTGACAATTCAAAGTCTAATCAATTATTTCTTAGTGTCTGTGGGATTTTTTTTAAGCTTATTTTCTTCTTTTAAGTAGAAATTAAAGCAAATATATTTTTATAAGAGCTCTTATAATTTTAAGAGATTTTTTTTAAATTATATCATTTTTTTAAATGTGTATTTCTTTAAATAAATAATTTTTATATAATCATCAAACTACTTGTTGCTTTATTTTTAAAGTTTTACTTTTTACCACATCCAGAGGAGCAATGCTGCTAATATATGATCTCACAATAATAATAGATGATGCTCGTTATGCTAACATGAGCAACAATTTGGGGCAGTTAATTTGGATCGATATTAAGCAAGATTAAGGATCAAGTCCATTAAATAGCCCAAAAGGCCCATTGGCAAAGACTTAAGGAGTAACGTAAGATGTATGTTAGACAGAGTCCCATAGACATGACTAAAATGACAACAACACGAGATTCATAAATCTCCTCAAGAGCCAATGATTGAAGGACAGACATAAAACGCTAGTTAAACTTACACATCATAGCTTGTCAATAGACATCTAACAAATGACATAGGCTGACAAAACCATCACAATCCACCAATAAAAATAAATGTCGCTACTATATAAGGAAGGCTCAAAGCCCATGATCACTTTATCTAGTTTACTTTTTTTTTGTTGAATAACAACTTTATCTAGTTTACTTAAACTCATTATTCAAGCACTGACTTGAGCGTCAGAGTGCTTTGCAAGTACTCCACACATCTCTTGCAAGCATATCTCTCCAACACTAGCTTATATTGGGATCTGTCAGGCTATGGGATGGATCCACGAGATGGTTAAACTAATGCTAGAGAGATATGCTTACTCGGAACATATGAGGTACTTGCAAGACACTTTGACGCACAAATGAGTGTTTGAATAATGAGTTTAAGTAAATTAGTGAAGATGATCATATCTAAGTTTTGACTCTTCATTATATAGTAGCAACATGTCTTACTTGTATCGCCTTAGTATAATGATATTTAATCTTATTGGTGGACTGTGGTGTTTTTATTAGTCTATCCTATTTGTAACATGCTTGGTTTTGTCCTTCAATAATTAGTTCTCGAGGAGGCTTATGAGTTCAGTTGAATGTCACGGTAATTGCATGTACTTGTGACATACATGTTTCCTTACTTTTTAACTTTTATTTTTTTTTGGTATTAAAGTAGTGTTTGGTAGAAGATTTATTTTGGGATTGATGAGAAAGTGTAAGTGGATATTGGAAAATACTACGTTTGGTTCAGGTTTTTGAAAAAAATACTAGGCAAATAGGATAGATGGAAAAATGACTTATGTGTTGATTTTTGGATGAAATTCACTGTTACAGAATACTACTTGAAATGTGGTATTTTGAGATAAATGAGGAAGTGAAAAAACAGGTGCGAAGTTTCTCCCGAATATAGATTTTACAAATTTAAATAAATTTCTCTGGTAATATTTCGGTCAACCAATCAACTTTTTTTATATTTTTCTACCAAAATCACTTTTCAACCATTTCCCTATTAATTACATTTTTCTAGTATTCAAATTTTTTTTCCTCAACCCAACTCTCCCTAAATACTTATGAAGTCTTTGCCATTAGGTCTCTTGAGCTTGTTTATTGCAGTGGACCTTTCATTCTGCGTAATACTGAAAATATCATAATTGTAAAAATGAAATAAAATTAATGTCTTCAAATCTCTTTAAAGTAATTTAATAAAGAGTATATATTTTTTAAAAAACAAAAATTAAAAAGAATTGACATTTATTTGGGGTTTACCATTTGCAGTTCTGAAAAATAAAATAAAAAAAGGGGTGAAATGCGAAAGTTCTGAATCACGCGTAAACCAGGTCGCTAACGCTAAGGAATGTCTTCTTCCTTGTAAGCAATCTCAATTCTCAATTCTCAATTCTCATAACCGATCATCAACCTCTTCTTCCTTTCTTCATTCTACTCTTTCACACTTTCCGAATTTGAACCCGAATTCAAACAAAATCCATCTTCACTTTCATCACACACAGAGAGAGAGAGAGAGAGCCATAGCCATGGTGCCACCGGCGGTTCAATCGCCGAACCCCCAAGTCACGCAACAGTTCTTAAACTCCGTCCTCTCCCAGCGCGGTCCATCGGCGGTTCCCTACTCGGAGGACACAAAGTGGCTGATCCGCCAGCAACTCGTGGCTCTCACGACCACCTTCTCTTCTCTCCAACCCAAAACGGCGACGTTTACACACAACGACGGTCGCTCCGTTAACCTCCTCCAAGCTGATGGAACCATACCCATGACCTTCCAAGGCGTGACTTACAACATCCCTGTCGTTATATGGCTCATGGAGTCTTACCCTCGTCACCCACCTTGTGTCTATGTGAACCCTACCAGAGACATGATCATCAAACGTCCTCATCCTCATGTTAACCCTTCTGGTTTAGTCTCTGCCCCTTATTTGCAAAATTGGATCTACCCTAGTTCCAATTTGGTTGATCTTGTTAACTCTTTGAGCCAACTCTTTGGCCGTGACCCTCCTCTTTATTCCCAACGTAGAGCCCCATCACCCCATGTTAACCCAAACCCTAACCCTAATCCAAATTTTGGAACTTCATCCTCTAATTTGGGTTTTTCTTCATCTGGGTATCATCATATCCCTCCTCCCAGGACTTACCCTCCTTCCCCTTATGCTTCTCGGGTCCAGCCTCCTCCTCAGCCTCCTCATACCGAGGACCCCACTGAGGTTTTTAAGCGCAATGCGATTAATAAGCTTGTGGAGATGGCGCATAATGATGTTGCTGGTTTGAGGAAGACCAGGGAGGCTGAGATGGAGGGGTTGTTTAATTTGCAGGCGGTGTTGAAGCAGAGAGAGGAGCATCTCAATAAGGGTTTGAGGGAAATGCAGGGTGAGATGGAAGGTCTTGAGCAGCAACTTCAGATGGTTTTGATGAATACTGATGTTCTGGAGGGGTGGTTGAGAGATAACCAAGGGAAGAAGTTGGGGAATTTGGAGAATGTTGAGGATGCTTTTGAGTGTGTGGATGTGCTTTCAAAACAGATGCTTGAGTGCACTGCTGCTGATTTGGCTATTGAAGATGCTCTTTATGCATTGGATAAGGCTGTTCAGGTGGGGGCTGTACCATTTGATCAGTACTTAAGGAGTGTGAGGGCTTTGTCGAGGGAGCAGTTCTTTCACCGAGCTACGGCAGCCAAAGTTAGAGCTGCTCAGTTGCAGGCTCAGGTTGCTAACATGGCTACTCGGATTCATCATTATGGTAATAGCTGAGAGGACATGGCTGCTCCGTTTGTGTCTGAAGAGGGTCTTTCACTTGATGAAATCCTTCATTGTGGTTGCTGGGTACAGATTGCTATTTGTTTCTTCACTTTACTTTCGTACTTCTAGCCAATAGCATAAATTAGTAAGCCTTATAGCCTTCAACAAATTTGGAATTATTGAGCACAGAACTTGTTGCGGGCTTGAGACTGTACTGTTGTTCTTATACAGACATAATGATATGATTTTCTTGAAAATTTTGGTTTAAGAGCTTGTTAACTCAAGTTTTTTTTATTGTTTAGGAGTATACATGCTTATTGATCATATATTTGTTCCACGTTGTGTCTTCAAACAATGGGTATATTATAATGGATATATATATTTTTTTCTTGATTCTATAGATGCCTTGCCTTGCCTTGCCTGTTTCAAATTATTTACATAATAACTAAATATCAATACTTCGTTTGCTGTGCTGGTAGAAATTTACTTGCATTTAATTTGAAAATTTATTAGAAGGGAAGTGTTTGTGAAATTGTATGCTTTAGTTTGTGTCTATTTTATTTGGCGAGAAGTATTTGTTTATCTTATGACTATCGATAATTGAACTAGATTAAACTATCGATAATTGAACTAGATTAAACATCGGGGTGGGTTTTACTTCACCAAACAAACGGTGGGTTCGTGGGATTGTTTGTGATGTGATACAAACAAAAAATTGGCCGTGCAGATATATGATTTTTTCTTATCTGTCACATTTGAATTTACAATTAAATGTGTCTTTGTTCCAACCTCCCGCCAGGGCCCGCTATGCCAGAAGCGAGAGAAACTCAATCCCTCTCTTTCCTTTTTTTCGCCCCCATGTCGCTACACACCAAAATACAATAGATGAATAGTCATTCGATGAAAAATCACAATCATATAAGTATTCGCTTTGAGAAGGAATGATGATGCTGTTGGTTAAATTAACTTGCTCAATTGGTCTTTAACTGATGGTAGTAAATTACCAATGGTGACTTTACTTCTCACGCAATCCAATTCTGTTTCTGTACATTAGAATATAGAAGGCTTCTTCTGAATAATTCGTGAGATTTCCAGAGAAACCACTGAATTGAATGGGCTGTTTCTGGTAAGGTTATCTTGTTCCATTACAAAATTAGTCAGTGACCGATGCTTGATGAAGTTGTAGGTTTTGGATTTGCACAACTCAAGAGGCAGAGAAAAGAAAATTGGAAGGGATTTTTGGAAATAGGGAAGCCTTTGCTTTATGAGATCTTGGAAAACCAGCCACGAGTTGTATTATTGGAATATGCAGTGCCATTTGGTTTTGCTTTCAGAAGAAAAACATTGGGTATTCACGTGTGGGAATAAGCTATGAGACTGCCATCGTAGGGCATTGTTGGAGGATAATCACCTCAGAATTTTCCCATACAAGGGTTATTCACCTTGTTTTTTTTTTTTACAAAAGTGCACTTTTGAGTCTTGGGGTGGTAGAGCAGCTTGGCCTCCCGGCTTTGGTGTGTAGTACTATTTACTGGACACACTTGTCTTGGTTGTTTTATTAGGATCGGTTAGTTCTTGACATGTACCATATTTTGATTCAAGCTTGAGTATATTCGTTGAATGACTGCATTGGGTCTTCCTGTGTGGTTTGTGGTTGGATGAATGCATTGCCAATTGGAAATGTTGAACTTGTCTAATGTCAATCCAATATATCATTGTTGTATCAGATGTTGCCTTTACATAATAAAATATTACTTGCCATATGATTTTAATTCTTTCAATTTAGAATTTGTTCAAAGCTGCTTCAATGTCCTTTTTTGTAGTAGAACGTGTTAAGGAATGTGATAATGAATGGTCTCAGATGAAGTATTTCAAATTTTTGGAGTGATACTTTACTTTGCAAGTGAACAGCCATTATTTTTCCTCCACATCGCCCTTAAAGCATCTAGTTATTACCATGTCTGTGATGAAAATTGCTACAAAAGAATGTATGGAGTTGAGTCAGGTCCCCCACCCCTCCATTTTTATCTGCTATTTAAGGATATAGTGATATTCAATTCAGTAACAATTTTCTCTTTTTATCTATTTATCGGGTTACATAGTGCTTTCCTGTAGTGAATTTCTTCACCCGCAAAGAATTTAAAAGCAAGTTTTGTCTTCATTTATCTGATCCAATCTTTTTTTTTTAAAAAAAAAATCCTCTATCACCCCCTAAAAAAAGACTAGTGGGTTTGAAGAATGAGATTCATCTTAAAGGGAGACCCCAGAAATATTTCTGCTTCCACTAAGGTACTGAATGCCAGTGCTTCTTCCCATTTAAATGTCATGTTAACTGACCTTTTTGATTCAAAAGAAAGTAGAATGGGACGTATCATGTTAACCAACCATTTATATTTTTCTTTTAATGTTACATTGTAAGTCAATATCTCTCAAGTTATCATCTCTAGACTCTTGCGGTCTTTTTACTTGTAGCCACTGCTCGCCCAGCAATGTTATGTTTCCATTTCGTCCTCTCTCGTTTGTCTTCTTCCCTTTGTACTGGTAATGAAGAAAGGTAGAGGCAGAAAAACATGTTGAATAATTTTGATTCTTTGCCGTATGGGTTTGTTTGAGTTTACAATAATATAGATCTTGTTCATCCATTAACCAAACCTTGACCGTTATATGAGACTTCCATTTTGCCTATGGCATTGCCATTCCTTTGTCTGCATCCACTTATTTGGAATTGGTTACACTTACACCTCTTGCTCTTGCTGCCATATGGCATATGCTGAGTTACTTCCTGGATTGGTTAAAATAAATTTACGTAGATTTTGTAACTTGATGCGCATGCCTTTCTTTTTTAGTGTTTGGAATACAATTAACCAACTTGTTAATTGTCAAACCTGGGTTCTGCGATTTTATATTCCTTCTGCCCATGCCTCAACGTGATTGAATTTTTAAATAGAGGCTAAATAATTAATTGAAAAAAGATTTTCCACACAACAAATTTCACGTCATTTTACCTTAATTGCTGTTGCTTTAATTATTGTTAACAAGATATGGATTCGAATCCTTACAGTTTCTATGCAATTCTCCACCCAAGGGTTGAAAGTTGTCAAGATATGGTTTTTTCATTAATATTTTGTCATAAAAAATTAAGAGAAAATATTTGTCTTTAAACTTATTTTGTCATAACATTGTATTCTTTTAACTGAAACTACAATATTTAATCAATTACTTTTTATTTATCAGAATTTACTTTTTATTTATTTTTTTAATGGAAAAAATATTTATTATTTTAAAAAATATAATTTTGTGTCATTTTAAATGAAACAACTGTATTTTAGTATATATTTGTTGACATTTTATATTCTCTCACCTCCACAAAAATTAGAAAGAGAGAGAAAAAAAATACCGTGGAGGAGAGAAGATATGAAAAATTAATGAATATGTATCAAAACATGATCGTTTCACTTAAAATAGCATAAAATTATGTCTTTTAAAATAACAAATATTTTTTCCTTTTTTAATTAGTTAAATATTATAGTGAAACAATGTATTTTACTCAAAAAGACACATGATTATGTCTTTTAAAAAGATAAATACTTTTTCCTAAAAATATATTAGATGGTAAAACACGTCTTTTATAAAATGATTAAAAATAGAGAAAAAAGTGTTTGTCATATTAAAAGATATAATTTGATGTTATTTTAAGTGAAACGGTCGTATTTAAGTATATATTTGGTTATTTTTTAAATTCACTCTCCTCAGCAATACTCTCTTTTCTCTCTCGATGGAGGAAAGAGAATTTTAAAAATAATCAAATATGTACTAAAATATGATCATTTCACTTAAAATCACGTAAAATTATATTCTTTAAAATGCCAAACCTTTATCTAAAAGAAAGTGAAAAAAATTGTTGCATTTTTTCGGCTACTTATCTATTTTTTAACCTTTCTCGTCTCCTTTTATGCACGATTGGTTATTAAACATTTCTCATAATACCTTAATACATTTAATTTTGTTTATCACATAAAATAAAAATTAAATTAAAAACACCATGAGAAAATTAAGGTATAAATACAATGGGTAATACTTTTCTTATGTTGCATAAAAAAAGTACTATCTCCTACTCAAATAATAAATAGAAGAGAAAAAAGATTTAGAGATGAAAGAGAAAAATTTTTGTGGAACCCATTTGAAAAAATGTAAGTGTAGAAAATAATACTTTTGCTACGTAATATAAGAAAAATATTACCCAAATATAATATGAAAAAGTTGCATAGACCGAGTTTCCTTAAAGTTGTGTTTGTTTGTCATCTTTCCTTGAAAGAGGGAAGAGTGTATGTAGTAGTGGCAGCAGCAAAATGCTTAGAAAACTGCTTCACCAATCTTCCACATTTCATCGTTCCGTAGCCAATGCATACTTGGCAGCTGCACCATGCTATTGCTCGAGGGTCTCTTCTTCTTCTTCTTCTTCTTCTTCTTCTTCTTCTTCTTCACCTGACACACCTTCCGTGGACGAGGGCACTGCAATCTCCATCGACCGCTCTGGCCTTTACAACCCACCTGGTATTTTCTTCAAATTTCCTTTCTTTCTTCGCTTCTTTTCCTCATTCTCTTTTTTGTTCCTTCTCGCAGACCATTCTCACCTCCCAAATTCCGATTCTGAGCTCGTCAAGCACCTCAAAGGGATCATCAAGGTTCTTTCTCTCCATTTTTCTTCCTTTACTTGTTTGGATTGGATTTTAGTCTGTGAAAATGTGTAACCTTTATATCCAATACTCCCTAATTTAATTTTTACATGATAAAAATTTGTTTTTTCCCCCCCTTGTGCTATTAAACCTCACTATCTTACTTTGGGTCTCACAAATTTTATTTTTTGCTTGCGAATTGTTACTTGTTACTGCTGAATTCTCAGTTTCGTGGAGGCCCTATATCAGTAGGTGAGTACATGTCAGAAGTTTTGACAAATCCTAAAGCTGGGTACTACATCAATCGAGATGTTTTTGGAGCACAAGGTGATTTTGTCACATCTCCTGAAGTAAGCCAGATGTTTGGTGAGGTGAGGTGAATTATACACTAAACTTTCAGTAACCTTATGTCTACTGGGGGCATCAACTAGAATTGGACTGTGTTTGCAATCATTCATGAAGCATGTCAATGACAGAAGGATTCTAATGTCTTGTTTATGTGAACTTAGATGGTTGGTGTTTGGGTGATGTGTCTTTGGGAGCAAATGGGTCAACCACAAAGACTAAATCTCATTGAGCTGGGCCCAGGACGAGGAACTCTTATGGCTGATCTTCTTCGTGTATGAAACCACAATTTTGATATGCATTTGTACTGGAGATTCTATTTAAATGTTTGGACCTTTTGTTTACGTTGTCAATCAAACATTAAAAAGTCAACATATCGTTTTTATGATTAAACTGATTTTTTAAAGTTTTTATAGGGTGCTTCAAAATTTAAGAACTTCATTGAGTCTTTGCATGTACACCTGGTGGAGTGTAGTCCAGTACTACAGAAGCTTCAGCACCAGAAATTGAAATGCATTGATGAAGAGAACACAGCTCAAGATGCTGATAAAAGAACTATAAGCTCTTTGGTTGGCACTCCTGTGTCATGGCATGCTACACTGGAGCAGGTTCCTTCAGGATGTATGTATCCCTTTCCCGATAAAAATAAGCTTTTGGACATAATACATGGAGTGTAACTTGTTATATGAAAATCTAAGTTAGTTTTTTTGTTAAGAGTCAACATAAAATATCTTCTTGTGCTATTTTCGTTTGAGCTCTGACCAAATTCTTCTTTTGTTGTGCTGTAGTGCCAACAATTATCATTGCGCATGAGTTCTTTGATGCCCTACCAGTCCATCAATTTCAGGTGATTGAATGCTTGTGCTATTAAGATGAATTGAAACTAATGACATCTATCAAGCTGCACAATTAACTAAGAAATTTGAAATTCTGCAAGTTTGCTTTCAATGTGTCTTCCATAGTGTCTTGGCTATCTGTCCTTCAGCATTCTTTCATCCTTTTTTCATTTTTTTTTTCCTTTGTGGTAATTTATATATAGTTTTGCCTGTTGTCTCCATTTTAGTTAGTTTATCTATACGTTGTGCTAAACCTGTCCATCGTATTGGTTGGCCTTCAAGGGGCTGAATAAAATGTAAGAGATGTTGAATGCTTTGAGCCCGAATTGTTGCTTCACCTTGTGTCTAAGTGATTATAAATTTCCTGTAACTTCCTGCTTCAAAGAGCTTGGGCTTGGCAAAAAATCTGTTTTAGTTCCTTAATATCCAGTAGAGTAAGACAGCTATGTCATACTCATACCTTTTATAATTATTGAAAAAATAAAATAAAAATAGAAATCCAACTTCGCTTTGTATTCCAACATTTTCTATATTGCTATTGGCATCACGTTACTGTGAAATGTATACACAGAAAGCATCTCGCGGCTGGTGTGAGAAAATGGTTGATGTGGCAGAAGATTCATCGTAAGTATTGTAATGTAATCTACTTGAAATTGTATTTCTGCTAGGTTTAGTGTAGTCATACTTCTTACATAAATTGGATAGGTTTCGTTTTGTTCTATCTCCACAGCCTACACCTGCAACTCTGTATCTATTGAAGCGGTGCAAGTGGGCTGTAACTGAGGAAATCTCACAACTTAATCAAATTGAAGTTTGCCCCGAAGCCATGGATTTGACTCAGACCATTGTTGAAAGAATAAGTTCTGATGGTGGTGGAGCTCTAATCATTGACTATGGCTTGGATGGAGTAATCTCGGACAGTCTCCAGGTCTAGCATCTTTCCCTTTTTATTCTTGAAAGTATTATGTTACAACCCAAATACAATGGACAAAGTTTTCAAGGAATATGAAATAGAAATTGTATTGATTGAAGCTGAATCAATAATAACTCAGCCCATTCCAGTACATGATATTGACCCTACAATCTATATGACAGAAACTGAAATAATGGTGGGAAAAATAAAAGAGAAAACGAAAAGATAATTTCTGAGTATTCAAGAGACTCAGAGCTCTCCCAGCCCAAGGCCCAACCTAATTTTCCAAAATGCTCAGAATTCATTCCTATTCCTCTATTTAAGTAACAAACTTCCCTCCACTTTAAACCTCTAACAGAATATAGTTTACCAGCTTCGGGAACCTTCTCTATTAACAAACTTCTTGCTGACTCAGCACTTGGCTATATTCTCCTACATCTACTTCTTTCCTACACCTTGTTTAATCGAATCGTAACATATTACTTTCTAGATTTTACTGTGTTCTGTCTCCCAAGTGTAATATCTTGTATCCTAATTGTCTTGTATTATACTACGATGGAAATATTAATATAAGCATAACACGTTAAGTTTGTAATTTAAATTGATAAGCATCAAGGGTTGGGAATAGAATCTGGAGAAAAGCATCCTTAGTTTCTATATTTTTTTACTGCTGTCTTAGCTTTGTGAATTTCTAACCAATGCTGCCACTGGAATCTATTGTCCTGTGCCATGGGGAACCATTAGATGTGTTGCTATAAATAATTGTCATCAACATGAACACCACCTTTATCCTAAACTAGTTGGGGTTGGTAGTCAATGAACCTTTCTTTTTATTGGTTATTGTTGTGGATTCTTTTGTTGGTTACAGTACCATGCACAATCCAATGTTGGAGTAAATCTTTTAATTTGATGTGGTGGTTCATACATTATAGTCAGATTGTCTTTCCTCCCAAAGCTTTTTGTTAATGGTTTATGAATTTACGCAGGCAATTCGGAAACACAAGTTCGTCAACCTTCTGGATGATCCTGGATCTGCTGATCTCAGTGCATATGTTGATTTTGCTTCCATTAGACATTCTGCTGAGGAAGCTTCAGGTATTTTTCCACATGCTAATAGTTGTAACACAAACTTAATCATGGTATAATGATTAGAATTAGACATCAAAAGCATACATATTTTGTCAAAAACTAAAGATTAGTTTCCAACTGATTTAATATTTATGCAGGAGAAGTGTCTGTCCATGGGCCAATTACTCAATCTCAATTTCTTGGTTCCCTTGGAATAAATTTTCGTGTTGAAGCACTTGTTCAAAACTGCACGGACGAACAAGCTGAATCTTTGAGGACAGGATACTGGCGTCTTGTAGGTGATGGAGAAGCTCCCTTTTGGGAAGGACCTGATGAAGGTGTTCCAATTGGTATGGGAACCCGATACAAAGCAATGGCTATAGTGAACAAGAAGCATGGTGTTCCAGTTCCTTTTCAGTAAAGCCTAATCAAATTAAAATGTCAGAAGCAGTTAGTATGCCAGCTTAACTTCCCCCAAGCCATAGTTGATGTTTTGGTGCATGTGACATACAATGTCCTCAATCAATGGTTGGCACTTCTAATTCCTACAGTTTTTTCTTCATTTATATTTATTTATATATTTTTGAAATGATAGTTTAATAGTTCTTGGTTTGCTTTTTATTTTAAAGAGTTTCAAGATGTAACGATCTTGTAATAATTTTAATAATGCTCGCTTCATTTGCTTGGAAAGGGTGAATAAAATAGATTAGAAAATGTATTTTCTTAGAGTGGCTGTAATGTAAATTAGCTGCCTTGCTTACCTCAAGTTTTTTTTTTTTTTTTTTTTTCCTTCCGAGAATTTCACTTTTAGGTTTAAATTCGATTTTTACTCGTAAGCTTTAGACTTAGATTTTTATAGCAATGTCCTATTGGTAACCGGTAAGCACCATTGTATGCTCTTATTGAGACTTATAAATCCTCTAGTCTTGGAACTGATTACCTCTCTTCCTCTCTCCTTTGATATTTTCTCCAATGATTATATATATATATATATATATATATATATATATTGTACACAATGGCAAAACACAAAACTCCCGTAAGTGAGTATATTATTGATTGAGGGAAAAAAAGATAATGGAAGAGATAATGGAATTAATTGTTGATGTTATATGAATCATATAAGAGAAATATTATGTGTAAGTCACATTTCCCTAAAAAAGTTCACTTGAACGCCATAGGATGGACAATCTTCTATTTTTCATGCAAATCTCTGTATTCTTAAAGCTTGCTTCAAATAAAGTTGAGGGCTTTGACATGCAAAATTAAAGAGCACTGGTGGGTTACTATATAGAACCCCTAGTTTATGTAATCTTACGTTCATTCCATAAACGTTGATTATATTGGATGTTAAAAGACTTGTGATATACAGAAACCTCAGACCCAATCATTCGAGGCTGATAATTCTGGTATAGAATAAAAAGTAATAGTTTTAGTTTTTATAGCCACGCGTAACAAGTTCTGTATATTGTTTGAGAAACCTTTGTGTATAGAACATTGCTCGTCTGAAATTACGGAAATAAACCCGCATAGATACCAGTAATGATTTCAGAATCAAGTACGATAATGCAAATTGGACAGTTATCGGAGTAAACCTGCATAGTGAAACAAAGAAATTGAGCACCTTCCCACTATCTTAAATAGGAAGAAACAAGTATTTGGGATAATGCTCGCAAGTTGACTAATTACTGAGCTAATAATAAACAGAGTATTTCATGTTACAATGGTTATCATCAGTTGTCAAACAAAAATATTCAGTAGCGGTATTTGGTGGAGTAATCTTTGGGAGAAATGACAAGACCACGTCCTTTCCTCGCACCTCGGAAGACAGTTTCAACAATATCGATGAACTCTTGCTTGTCCTTGAGAGCCCAATTAATCAATCTTATTGTTGTTTCCAGTGCCAAGGTCAATCATAATATGCTTGTTCCTAAAGAACAACATAACGGTGCATGGGTCATACAATTACAACTCATACATGGTGTTGAAATCGGGCACCTCAGTGATGTCCACAAGGTAAATCACTGAAATTTTTTTTATGGTCTCAGCAACCTATGCCAGTACTTCATCCATCTGATTTAAAGCCAAATTAATCAGATAATTAGATAAATAAATAAAATAAAAAAAGTACACGGTAGATGAAAAGGTAAGTTTTGTGTCTTGTCTACCTGATTTGAGATAAAAGGCTCCGATCAGCAAATTTGAAAGTGTCTATCTCTCTTTTTAAATGACATAATTTTATGCTTTTATAGTTATAAAGTCAAGTAATTTCATTATATTTTTATAGTTTAAAATTTTTAATGAGATTTTTATGCTTTTAAATAATTTAAATAAAATTTTATTAACTTTTATTGATTGACGTAGACTTATTTAAAAAATTTAAATGAATTATAAGGGTTTATACACTATGTCTTTATAATTCGAATTTTCAAATAAGTTCTTATAATTTAGCACAATTTAATGATAATTATCAAGTAGGGACCTGTTTAAGTTTTTTTTTTTTAAATACAAATAAAGATATCGTTAATTGTGCAAATAGATGTACTAAACCAAATAGATGAATCCTCCTGTTTGTTTCCTCCAATTCAATATGGCTCCTTGATTTTTACACTCTTTTATACACTTGCAAATGACTTCCTCCATTCGTAGATATGATCTGAATAAGCACACAACATGAAGTTCTTACAAATAAACAAAATGCACTATGACATTGCGATTTGACACCTCTAAATTGAGGGGTTCACTTAAGAAGAAAAAGTTAGAAGCATCGATAAGAAAATCAAGAAAATAGATTTTAACAATGACATCGTTTGTTATAATGTATATATATTTTAGGGTTCGTTTTCGGCACTCAATATAGACAAATCATCTATATTGAGTTCAAAATGACATCATTTTAAGGTAAAAATTAAAGTATTTTTGTAATTATAATTTATTTCAGGGTTATAATAGTCTTTGTCATTATACTTTTTTAATTTTTCAACCCAAAACGACATCATTTTGAGAGTGAATGTAGATAACTTATCTTTATTCACTGAAAAAAATATTAAAACCTATATTTTAATACAATTTCAGCCGGTTATTATGCACTTTCCTCTTTAAAGTGCATTCTTCACTTTAGAAGAGTCAAATCCACAACATTGTATTGGTAACTTCCAGACACACCACTGTCATAGCTGACACACACACATTGGGTCTACTACCATAAATTTCTCATAGACAAGAGCTGTATAATTTATCCAAACAACCATAACCATAACTATCTTCCAAGTTACGTATAAGGTGCTAAAACATAGCCAATGTTCATGAAATCATGAAAAAGGAAATCTCTTCTTTTACAGCCAATTTATTGAATGAAACAAGGTAAACATTTCAATTAACAGCACAACGACAGCTTCAGACCAGACTCTTCAAGTTTTGTTGTTCCTGTTCTTGGAGCTGATGCCTGCCAAGAAATCAATACATATGTTACCCATCATTATGCAAATCCTTATCTGAACAAGTTTTCTCCCTAATTTTTTTTTTATCTATAGGAATTTCTGTCTTTATACAAGTTTCTAAGTCTGAATCCCTATTTCTGCAAATGTTGTCAAAGACTAAATTGTATATTACATTTAGCATATGTCCTTCACTAAATAGGAATGAATTAACAACCACTCTTCATTAAAAGTGAAAATAGGGTGACCGGGAATAAAACTTAAATGTCCTTGTTTCATCAAAAGGTACACCATATGAAAATGAAAGAAAGTGAACGATCTTTATTTCAACTGAGATTTGAAAAGCAGTTTTTTTTTTTTGGCACAACAATTGGTGTTGTCACCATGTGACCTGGAGGTGACATATTCAATTCATGTAATTAGCCTCTTGCAAATGTAAGGCCGCCTACTATAGACCCTTCCCTGGATCCTGTACATAGCTGGAGCTTTAAGCACCGAGCTGCCCTTTTTTTTGGACATTGATTTCAAAAGTTTGTCTCAATTAGAAGTTTATTATGATGTACTGATGATAAATCATATATAAATAACAAAACCAATTTTTGGGAACAAAATAGGAACTAATAAATAAACAATTACATGATATGCCCAGTACGCATTGTCAATGAATCCTAATTTTCAAAGTACTAACGACTAGGATGAGCAAGTGTTAATACTTGTGTGAGTTCTATCAATAGTCTAATCTAAATCAAATCCAACAGAAGAGGGTTGGGGGTCATCTTGTAGAACTCTGCCATATATAATAACCCAAATTTGAAATGTCACCGGCTTCATATTATTAGGCGTAGAATGCAGACATATCAATATCGAAACATAAGAAAGAAAGAAAGAAAGAAAGCACATTCTATGAAATCAAGCCTCCAATAACACTATCAATGAAGATAAGGAGTGAATCAACTAAATGAAAATACACCCTTTGGCGTGCTTAATAGCAGCAATGTATAAATAACAATCAATGACCTATAACTAGAAAGAAAAATAATCATCATCATCATGAAAGAATGTACCTAATCAACGGCCTTGCCATGACCATGATCACCATCATGACCCTCCCATGGGTGCCTCCATCCCTAGAACAAAGCAAAAAAAAAAAAAAAACGAAATAATTTTATCATAAAAAAAAAAAGCGAAACAAAATTAAGTTTGATTTCAGAGTGTTACCACTTACCAATACTACAGGACCATCTTTCTTTGCTCTGTACATTATCCAAAACCTGTAAAAAAAATAAAATAATAATAAAATTACAAAATAGAAAAATAGTAAAATGGATGAAATTAGGGTGTAGAAGTTAGAAATGGAATCGAACCACATGACAGCGCACAGGCCCTTGCCGGTGACAGTGTGCCAGCGCTTTGGGTGATGAATGGTTACGCCTCTGTAGGTTGTGCCTTCGCCATGTCCATGTCCTCCACCCATCTCTCGAGAGATCACACTGAAACTGAAAATCAGAAAGACACACACACACACGGTGTAGTAAAGTAAACCCTCCCTCGCCTTTAGCCACACCAGATCTCGCCCTCCATATTCACTTGGGGATAATTTATTTAAAATACCCTCTTTACCCTTCGTTCTCAAAAGCCTACCACTAGGGTCTTAATGAGCCGAGCCGAGCTTTAATCTCAAAAGCTAAGTCTGTGTTTAAATTTATCAGCCTGTTAACTGTTATAAATATAATTATCGGCCTCTGGCCTGACTTGTTTACGAAAAAATAAAAGTCTGATTTAGCCTGTTAGCCTATTAAAAAAAAATAAGACAACAAAATTATCCAAACAGAATATACAATCAACAACACTAGTAATTCTATAAATATTCATAAATTCAATGTATATCCAAACAGTATAATATAGAACAAAATCATTCAAAAAGTTTATTTAACTGATAAAATGGAGTGAAATGAATTGAGGAGAAAGTGAGAGCTATTACAAATAGTATAAAAAATATAAAATAAAATAAAATAATATACTAGGCTAGCCTAAGAAGCTCTAAGACCGAGCTTTTGAATTGGAGACTGAGGCCTTTTTATTAAACGAGCTTTTATACAAGTTCAAGCTTGATACCAACAACTAATTTTAGACATATAAGCTCAGGCCTTCACGAGCCGAGCCAAGAAACCCTGGTTCGTTTAGCACCCCTACCTACCACACACGGGACACGGCGGCGTGTACAAGTTATTTTTAATTTTTTAATTAGAATGTTATAAAGTACTTATAAAAATAATACGAAATTATTTAATGATAATTTTATTTTATTTTACTTCTTTAATTTAAAATCAAGATGACTAGACTAAAACCCTTACCACCTCAACAAATAAAGAGTTTATTTAAAATAAAATGATTATTTTTTAAGCTTCAATTTCTAATATCTAATAACTAATAATTAGCATTTAACAACTTATTTTATTTAATTAAAATTGATATATAAAAAAATTGTCATATTTTATAATTCACAATTAAATATAATAGGGGAGAGGTTATAATTTTGTTAACTTTAAATTGGAGCAAGGATTATTAAAAAATAAAGTTAAAATTATTTGATAATTGTATAATTTTTCAAGCCTAAAAGCTATTTGAAAACTCTATTTAGTAAAATAATTTATAAAAATTGTAATTTAAATTACAATTACCATAAATGACATTAAATTATAAATTCTTTATTATGAAGAAAACTTCATACAAACATAAATATTACTTTACAAAATTAAAAAAAAGATAAATTTTCAAAATATAATGGAAAATAATTATTTTTAAAATAAAAAATTATGTTATATAATAATTTATCAATAATTTTTTCATTAAATATATCAATTTTTATGTGTCAAATATTTATATATATAAATAAATATTTTTAGATTTTTTCAGAATATAATATAGTAAAAAAATATTTTTAACAGCTTGAACCTGATAAATTTATGGCTTGCATTGGACAGGAAAAAATGATCACATAAGTAGCATGTGTGTTTTTTAAAATAAGCAAAAAGCTAAAAGATACTTTCGGGAATTATTTATAAAAAAATACTTTCATATAATTTTCTTCATTAAAAACTAAATTTTTTTAACAGTTTTTATGAAAAAATATGTTTTTTTTTGTTTCTCAAGAATAGAAGATAATTTTTTTTTTAATCCAAACGGGCACTAGAAGAAATATGTACCCTAAAGAATCAATAATATATAATACTGGATCCGTCCCGAATCGGATTAGTTGCGAATCAATGAACCGATTGGAATATTTCCAAAACAAATAAAATAATATATAATACCGAAGAATCAAAGTGATGATGTGGTTGTCACGTACTCAAAGTTAATACACTTGATGATTCCACGTCAACATAGTTTTGATGATAACAAACAAACTCAAAGAGGAATGCTTAAGGACGAAACAACATCCAAACGAAACTCAAGCAAATGTGAAAGCATGCAATTCAGGCATCAAGTCTCAAGCATCAAGCCAAGTCCAAGATCTCACTGGTATATTCATATAGGACTTAGAAAAATATGTAAAGGTGTACGGACTTTAGCATTGCATGAGCTCAAGTCACACATATAGTTACCTAATCATAAGGTGTTTAAAAAAACCTTGATCTAATAAGTCAAAAATGCATCTAAAGGTCTTTGAAATAACTTAAGCACGTAAGCAGCCTTGCACAGTGCAATCACACTTATTCATGATCTTAAATCGCTCATTTGTTTTAAAAAGAATGCATCTTTAAAGAAATGTCAAAATAAATGGTTTGATATGTCCAATATTGGTTTGGAAAAGGTACCTACATGATATAAACATTTCTAGATAGTTTTCATAACCAATTACATGCATTACAAGTCATAGAAACCATTTTAAAAGAAAAGAAACTCAAAATTCGTGCAAAAAGAGTGCTGCCATGAAATATCCTGATATTGGACTGAGAATATCCGGATATCAATATCCGGATATGAGCTCGATAAATATCTGGATATGTACGGATCACAACGGCTATAAACGACTAGTTTTCAAATGAGGTGTCAATATAAATACCCACATCAACAGTAATGAACAATGGACGACCATAGATCAATTATTGAACCTTTATTACTCATTCTAGCCAATTATTGCTCATTGATTACTTACTTTAATCATTGCATACACTTGAACTCATCTTTGTTTTAAAGCTATACACCTATTAGTACTTCAATTTGTGTAATCTGTACTTTGAGAGTACTTAGTCATTCTTAATCACCTCAATCTTACTTCTTGAATTGAGAGGGGAGTGAACCCTTGTGTAAGTGAAGGAAAAATGTTAGTCTGACCGAAATCTTGGAGAATATTGTAGTGGTTTGTTGAGCACCCTTGAAGCTCAACCAAATAGTGAAAGTTGACAAAGCGGCTTCAGTCTGGACGTAGGTCACAGCGGTGGTGATCGAATCAGGATAGATCTCGTTTGCAATACCTCTAAACTTTATATTTGCATAAGCATTGTTAGACCATTTGAGCATATTTAATTTCATATCTTGTCAATTATTTACTTGAGTTATTTGCTATTATTTAGTCTCTACGTGTAGTAAATTATTTGAACTCAAGAAACTCAGTTTTCAAAAAGGAAAGTGAGACATTTTGTGAAAATAATTTTAAAACTCAATTCATCCCCCCTCTTGAGTTTGAGGCCACTTGTCCAACAAATACAACTCAAATTTCTATTTGTATATGCATTTGTACCAGATTTACATAATCTTTTGTATAAAACTTAAATGTGCATTTGGATTTATTTATTTTATGTTTGAAATAAATAATCAAAATTTTATTAATAGAGCTTAAAAATAAATATTTTTGACTAAAAAGTTGAGCAAATTCAAACATGCTGATGACTTTATTTAGATGTACTTATTCAATTTAATTAAGTAAATTTTTTAACAGCAAATTTAAACGCGTTTTCTACTTCTTTACTTGGAATTAAAGATTTTAAATTTTGGACTAATAAAGAATTGAAAATGGACATCAATTTTTTTGGATTTTTTTTTTAAGTTAGAAGTTATTTATAAGCAGAAGTTAGGCCAAACAGGTTTTGAGAAAAGCTTTTATAATGAACAGTTCTTTTTTTTACAATGAAGAAAAAAGCTAAAAGTTCTTATAAGCTTTTCTTGAATTATGTGTTTTTTTTTTTTAAATGAAAAGCTATAGAGATAGAGAGAGAATTTTCTTGAAATATATGCTTTTAAACTAAATTTTTTATGTAATCACCAAACAACTTTTACCTTCTTTTTATTAATTTTTTTTTTTTAACTTTAGCTTATAAGTAGTTCTAGCTTAAAAAAGAGAGGATTCAAACATGCTCTTAGTAGTGGCATTTTAATTTGGATTTGATCCGTCTAGGAGATACTGAGCTGGATCACACACGATTGAGTTTGGTCCAATAATAATCTGAGTGGATATGCTTCAGGATGGATGTCGTCATATGATACTTTTGCGGGATGTCTGAGTTGGTGTTGGGTAGCTTTGTTTGTCTTGGCGGGTGCCTGCAAGACACTCTGACACTCAAGTGATCAATAAGCTTAACTTAGGATGGGTAAGATGCTCATATCTAAAATGTTCATTATATAGTTAGTGGTTGGACATTCTTCTTATGACGCCTTACTATGGTGACATTTGATCTCATTGGTGGACTGTGGTGCCTTTTGCAATCTATTTCTTATGTGAGATATTTATTTGTGGGTTATGTCTTTTAGGCATGGCTGAATCACGTGTATGTTTTTTAATTATTAGTTGTGAAGGAGCTTTGGAGAGTTCGTAACTGTACGAGATGAATATGTTTTCTTACTTTTTAAGTCTTCATTGTTTGGCGTCTTGGGTCATTCATGGATTGGATCCAATATCTAATATGGAAATTGAGTCCTGATCAAGATTTATCATGCGGAGACAATATTTTAAGGGTTTATTTTTTTTTGCAGCTGCATATAAATTATCTTCAGTAAATCTAATATGACGTCGTTTTGGGGCAAAAATCATGGTATTTTTGTAATTTTAATTTATTTCAGGTTATTATAGTCTTTATAATTATGATTTTTTAATCTTTCAATCCCCAAAACGACGTCTTTTTGGGAGTAAATGCAGATAACTCATCTGTAGTAACTGCAGAAATATTTTTCTGATATTTTAATTTTAAGAAATACAACAAATTATTAGGGAATATTGTTTAAATTAACAATTCTGTATGAAATGGGTCCGGATCAAGATTTATTACCCGGAGACAGTATTTGAATTTTAAGAAATACAACAAATAATTAGGACATATTGTTTAAAGGAAAAAGTATTTCTCCGGTAAATAAAGTTATCTCCAGTGAACTTAAAACGACGTGATTTTGGGTTATAAGATTAAAAAATTATAATGATAAAGACGAATATAATCTTACAATATATTATAATTATAAAAATATCTTAATTTTCGTCACAAAACGATGTTGTTTTATGCTCACCGGAAATAACTTATCTCCATTGATCGGAGAAATTCTTTACCCTTGTTCAAATTAACTATTCATCAAACTGAATCAATTATT